TTAAGAAAACATGAGAAGAAAAATAAAGTGGGTATTAATTGGATTTTATAATGCAAAATTTTTTTCTTAATTATATGAGTAACTCCTTCATCTTTATCTTATTATCAAACTAATGAAATTTTAAATGGCTGTATTCAAATGCATGGTGTGCGTTATGTTAATGTTAATCCATGTGGTGGAAACTATCTCTACTTTATTTTATTCCATCGGATTTAGGTAACCAAGGTGTCCTTATTAACAAAATTTTATAAATGTTTTCCCAACTTACGAATATTTTGTTTGTTTCACATGATTTGATTTTTATAACAATTTATTGAGCATCTTATGCATCAGTAAAATTGCATCACGTTGTTATTAGAAAAAATAAAATGACATAAGTACAAAATCATTTTGAAAAATAATTATGTTACTCATACTTTCAGAATTTCCAAATTTCTCAATTAAAACTAGTGGGGATCATATGAAAAAGAAACAATAGATGTGGCAATATAGATGATGAATTTTTAGATTTTTTAAATTTTAACAAGAGATATAATCTATAATTAGAATTATAATAATTATTTTAAGTATGAACATAGCTATCTATAAGCTATTTATGTATGTGAGCGATTCTCTAGTTTAAATCTCTAGTTTCTATAGTTTTTTCTAGTTTAAATCTGTACAGAATCTTAAATCCGAAGCTTAAATCAAAAAAATTTTTATTAATCAATTATTCTTTGTTTTATTTTATAGTACACAAATTAAAAAAAAATCTAATCTTAAAACAAGGGTATGAGAAATTGTGGTTTGAAATAAAACAATAATAAATTTTTTATTATTGTTATTATTTTACAAATAGTTGAAATGCGGAAAATAACAGTTATTTTTAAATTGGAACGAACCCATATTATAATATTACATTGCTTTACAAATGATTTTACAAAATATATAAAAAATTCAAGTAGAAAAAGTGTTCTGTTTTTTCTTTCATTTTGTTTATTTAATTTTATGTTAACTAATGTACATACATAAGTATATATAAACTACTTTTAATGAAGGACGTCAGGTTAAAAGGTTGTATTTAAATAACAATATGTATGTATAAATGTGTATGTATATTAAATGTACATAATTTTATGTGGTTGTCAAATTACACAAAATCTAGAATGCCTTAAGCAATTTATTCAATGGAATTTAAATCAACATACATGCACACTTACGAGTATAATAAATTCAAAAAAACAAAATAACAAAAATGTTAAAGAAAAACTACCACTGCCACTTTATCATTGTGCTACCACCACAGCAATTTTATTGTATGAAAATTCACCACCATCCATGGAAGTAATCACACAGCATGCAAGTTTTATATAGCTCTGTACGTGCCTATATAAGTATTTTATTTATGCAAAGTTGTATTTGAGTAAACTGTAAAAATATTAAATTCAGTTTTATAAATAAAATCTTGAAATTTAAAATTAAAATTGATACCATTTTGTATTTTTTCTTATTTTTAAATCAATTTTTGCTTGATTTTAATTTACAAAGAAAAAAAAAACTAAGAAACTAGTTTAATTTACTTTCTGTTTTACAATGAAATTGTAAAAAAAAAAATGTTAAAACTGTGGGGCAAATAAATCATTGGTTTAATAAATAAGAAAAAAAAATGCATTTTTTCATTTTTTTTTTCGCCTTTGGAATTGCTACAAAAAAATGTAAATACACTTAAAGAAATTAATTATAAAATCGCACGCGACAAGTTGCCACTGCGTTTAAATACCCGTATACAAACTTAGTCGTAAAATATTTAATTTATAGGTAAAATGTGTTTAGCATTATTATGTTACAGGCAATAAAAAGTCAATTATGAAAAATATATTATATAGGTGGTATTTTCAATTACACTTAAATATTAATTATTTTTTTTTTAAATTTTAATATTGGTGTTAATGGAAAATGAATTGTTTACTAATTTTTATTATAATATTGAATTAAAACAACTAAAATTTGCAATACTCATAACTCTTTCGTATAGAGTCTTAAGAGTGGAAGCCTCAAGAGGTATAGCATTTCCAACTACACAAGCGACAAGCCTGTAAAAACGAGTCTTCAGGCAAATATTTTACATCAAATGGCTTCATATTTTTGTATATAAAATAATAGTCGAATTCGAATGGTTGTTTTGAATTCATAAATTTTTTGTTGGTCCTATAATTCAGGATGTTCACACGAAATAGTGTGACACTATGATTGATAGTTCGGAATATCATATTCTTTTAAATGTAACGCAATAATTTATTATGCAAATGGCCATACAATAACTGCATATATTTGATATTAATTATTTAAATTTTTAATCAAATTTATTTAAATAAAATTCATATCAACAAAATATCACGTTATGTAATGCAAGGATGCAAAGAAGAAATGAAATAAAAAGGAAATTTTAAAGAAATAAATCTATGTGACTTGAATAACTGAGGTTGGACAACGATCTTGTTTGCTTTTCGTATTTTCTCGTATTATATAAATTGTGTAATATATAAAATTTAATGTCCATTTAATACTGTTATACAAACAACAAAATGTATATATGCTTCATATTAAAGCCTCATTAACTTTTATTTTTTTTTATAAATATTTTGCATACTTATATACAATATATTTATAACACGTTGCAGGAAATCATTTTTATAGTGCTTAAATTTTTATATTATACTGGGAAATTTTATGGGCTTATTTAATATTAAAATGTTAAACTTTAATATTCAATATTTTAAGGCGTAAATTTTGTACTTTTTATTATTAGCAAAAAAAAAAAGAAAAATACCAAAATAACAACAAAATAAATTCCAGTTATTGGAATTAAAATATTTTTAAACATGTACTTGCTTTATTTTATGCATTATAATATAAGTTAATCTTGTACATGCGTTAATGTCATTATAATACATGTAAGTTATTAGGTTGAAATAGAAAAGGTGAAGACGCATAAATCGTGAAAAAAATTTTTAATTTTCATTTAAAAATGAGAAAATAAACCTATGGGCATTGGAAATATCTACACAGACGTACGTACGAGTGTATGTATATTTTCTTCCTATATTTTTTTTGTGACACAATTATAAAAAGCGACATGATTTTTGAATTATTATTACAGTTAGGTAAAATTGTAAATATTCCGGTTACAAAACAAAGTTATTTAATTTACTTATAAAAATGTTGACAATTTAAAAAAAAAACAAAAAACAAAAAAATATTTAAAATTCAATTTGTATATTGAAAATAAATAACTTATTTTGTTAAGTGTTACCTAATTTATAAAAGTTTATAACAATTTATTTGTATGCTTAATGTTTTATACTTACGCACTGTTTTGATAATGGCATGCAAGTTATATGGTTATTGCAATTTTATAATAATTTTAAAATTTATTTTAAAATATTTTGCATTTCAAATTAAAATTCTTTTATTTAATTGAGATTTTTTGTGTAAATAAAATTAGTAATAGATTCTGTTATATTTCGTATTTTATTATATATATATATATATATATATACATGTGATATTAATTTTGTACTTAAAAATAATGTAATTACTCTTAACTATGTTCCTAATAAGCATGAAGTTCATATTATATTCTTTATTCTTATAGCTACATGACTACTTAAAATCAAACAGTGATGATGATACATATAAGAGTTTAATGTCATTCTTTCACCATGATATCTAGAATTACTGGAAATGAAGGCATTTAGTGTTTAATGTATTCAAAAATAAAATCTGTTTTACTATACGGCATCTATAAAACGCTTATATTTTCCAGACCAATAAAGATATTTGTTTTAACACTAAAAAATTTTAATTATTTTATTTACAATTTATAAGAAATTTAAGAAATAAGTAAGAGGAAAACTTATATTTGCTTCAAAATTTTGCGAAAGATATTATAATACACGCAAAGTGGCTTAGTTATTTCAAAATAAATTTTTTTTTTTAAATAGCAAATAGAATAATTTTTTCAAAATGATTTACGTGGGAAATGCACGCAAAAATTATGTATGAATGCAGACATAAAAATTAAAATTTTATTGTATGGCATAGTATTTTATAAGAATTCGGTTAAATTTCTGTAACGCAAAATTTATTTAGAAGAATATTTTGAAAAAAAGTATTAATAAAGTTCATATAAATTGCACCATATGATCTAAAACAAAAGACAATGCAAAAATGTTTGATATATTTTTGTTATATTTGTTTTATAAACTGAATTCTGCAACATTACCGCAATATGGAACTTTTGATCTTATTAACAAATTTAAGTTTTATGTTTTCAATACAAAACTATAACATCAGCTGTTTGAGCTAAAAATTTCAAAATAACTTTAGAAAATAGAGACAGGAAGCTCTGTACGGAATAATTTCAGTCTAACGATCGCTGTTGGTAGAGCGTCCGTTTTGAAAGCGGTAGGCCACTAGTCCGAGTCCAGCTCGGTGAAAAAAATTTTTTAATAAATTTTTCTGCTTTAACTCATTCTTTTGATTATGTCATCCATCTGTTTTGTAGTTGTATGAAGAAATTTTCATTAATTATTCTTGTAAGCTTGTATCCTTTGAGTTAAACCAAGTTAACTGTTTGTTTTGAAATATGGACCCCTAAATCTGTAAAGCCAATTATCATAGTTGACTTTACAAACTTTACAGATTTAGAGGTCTTATCACGAATTTCACAATTTACCTTGCACAATGACACTTTGAAAGGGATTACCTTTTTGATTTCTTATAAGAGTGCCATTTGTATTTATGATCGACAGTACGTATATACTTAAATTTTCTTCTTCTCTTCTTCTTCTTTGTCATAGGTTTCTCTGTTTCTTGATACATTTGTCGGTCTTACTATTATATTTGTTGTTATCCAAGATATGATGATGGTTGTTGTTTAGGATATGATGATGTACTTGCTAGTTGACATATGTGATTTGATTGTGGTATTTATTTTGTGTGTTCGGATGTGTATTTTACTATGGTTGTTCTTGTGAAATTGATGACCAGCATTGTTTCCATCGTTTTGGAGGGCGACCTGGAAGTCGTTGACTGTATGGTTTTTCCGTGTATGCAATTTTTGCCAATCTATTGTTATCCATTCTTTCGACATGATCCCTCCAATCGCGTCTTCTACCTCGTACCCATCGTACAATGTCGGGGATCTTACAGCTTTTCCTGATTTCTGCGCTTTTGATCTGATCACGTAGAGTTTTATCACAGATTTTCCGTAAAGTTTTCATTTCAGTGGCTCTTAATTTTTGTTTTGTTATGGAAGTGTCTGCCCTACACTCTAAAGCATACGTTGAAATTGGTCGTACACATGTCTTATATATTTTGACTTTTGCTTCCTGTGACATGTATTTGTTTCTCCATACGACCTGTCGTAAACAGCCAGAGATTAATGAAGCTTTATTGGTCTGTTTACTCATTTCGGCCTTTATGTCTCTATATGCAGTTGTTTCGACACCGAGATAATTGAATTTCATAACTTGCTCTACGGATTTGTTGTTGATGACTAGTTTGCATCTAATTGGATTTTTGGCAATTACCATGCTTTTCGTTTTTTCAATGGAAATCTTCATGTTATATTGTTCTGCAGCTTTCGCAAAATTAAACAGTAATCTTTGAGCATCATCTTCGTTCTCTGCTATAACTGTGGCGTCATCAGCATAACACAATATATTGATTCTCCTGTTACCCATTGTGTATCCGGCATTGACCTCTTTTGTTTTTTCAATTATTTTATCCATGATTAGATTAAATAAAATGGGGCTTAAGCTATCGCCCTGTCTAATGCCATTAGCCACACGCACATCTTGAGTCAGTTTTTTATTGGCTCTGATCTTTGTTTTGTTCTCTGTGTTCATGTCACGGATGATATTGATAATTTGTGGGTGGACACCTTTTTCATTCATTATAGCAAGAACGTCTCCAAGTTTTACTTTATCGAAAGCTTTTGTTAAGTCAATAAAGCACATATATGCTGGTTTATTGAATTCTATTGCTTTCTCTATTATTTGTGTGATTATAAATATGGCGTCTATTGTTGATCGGTTTTGACGGAAACCTTGTTGCTCTTCGCTAATTTTGGATTTATTGTCAACTTCTTGAGCGAGTATTTTTGTGAGAAGTTTTAGAGTTGAACTTAGTAAACATATTCCTCTATAGTTTATGGGGTCTGTCTTACTGCCTTTTTTGAAGATAGGTACTGTTATACTGGTTTTCCATTCTTTGGGAACTTGACCATTTTTAAGTATCAAATTGAAAAGCTTTGTGAGCTCATTTGTTAGTTGATCTCCTCCGTACTTTATTAGCTCATTGGTTATTCCGTCAATTCCAGCTGCTTTTCTATTTTTAAGTTTTCCTATATTTCTTTAAACTTAAATTTTAATATTAAAAATTAGAAATTTCGCGGAAAAAAAACCCACACATGCATATACATGTGTACATATATATGTATATTTTAGATCAGAGGCACATGTGTTGTGTGTAAATCTGAATTGTTCCCAATAAGATTGCATTCTATACACTTTAATTAATTTCAATGATAAAATTTGGAATGTTCCTCAATTAAAATTGAATTATTATTTTATTTGCCATTCTCTATTCTTAAAATTTTATTTTAATTGAAAAAAAAAAAAATACAAAATTTATGCATGGCATTTTCTGTTATCGTAGTTTGCAATCATTCACAATTCAATGTAATTAATTTATGGGTCAAAAACTACAAGATTCAACATTCTTTTTTTTTCAACAATAAAACAAGAAAATTTAATTGACATTCTTAAATAAATTATTACGCACATTTTATAAGAAGAGAAAACAAAAAAGCCATTAAAATTTGATGCAGATGTGAGCGTATGCATTATGTACGCACTTTTAAGGTTGGATTATCATTTTAATTTTTGCATTATGTTATGATGCCTCAAGGATAAATAACATGAACTGTAAATATGTCTCAAGTGCAGTATATAAAAATAAATAAAATGTTAAGATTAAAGTATGAGTTTTTAAAAAATCTTAAAATGCAATCGTTTGGTTCAGATATTTTCACTGTAAGTTCGCAGTTATTAATTGATTTTTGCCTCTGAAATTATCATCTTACCTTATATTGAATAAATTTTGCATAAGCTAAGGCGTACGTGGTAAAATTTTGTTTTTTGTTAATTTTTTAAATGCTTCTTTTTCTAGTTTCTCTTAATTTGAAGATTCTGGATGCAGAATTCATTAAACCCATAAGTTATTGGAATTTAAAAATTAATTTTTGGTACAAATCAAGATTAATTAGAACGAGCGCATGTGTATTAAAATTGTCATATTTTATATGAATTCAAAGAATCTTCGTCTTCAAAAAATTGTATTATAAAAGGTTGGAGTGTAAAAAGTAACACATTATTTTCAGTTTCACTTTATTAATTTCCCTTGGATTCAAGATTAACTATATTCAGCATGCGTTTATATACGTACATATTTAAATAATGTTTATAAGATTTTATAGCCCGTTCTAAAACTTTTTGCACCCAGAAAATGTACTCATATTTTATGGGAGCCATTTGGCAAGTTTTGTAACATCAATGGCCATTAATATTATTTAATTTTTTTTTTCATATATGTAAGTGAATAATGTTAAGTATAAAAATATTTTTATATCTTTTTCCTGTATCAATGATTAAATATACCGGCTTGAACCTATATGTCAAATAATTTACCTTAAAACACAATTTTTTCGATAAAGATCAAACACTTAATTCAAACAATAAATTTTATAGGATTTTTGTACTTATTGTGAAAAAACAAATAAAAGGAAATAAAAGATAAAGAAAGAAGATAGAGACAAGAAACATACATTTTGTCCGCAACAGCTTTTTTAGATGGCAATGGCAGAGTTCCTTTAAATTTATTTGTTTACTTTTACTAAACAACATTTATGTTATTGTTGTTAATTATGACGTAAAAGTAACAATAAAATGGTGTTGAATAAAACCTTTTTCTTCTTCAATTCAACAAAATTTATTTTCGCTTATTGTTTTTATTGTTTTTTAACTCTTTAATTTAAAAAAAAAAAGTTATTTTAAAAATTCCATTTTAATGAATACAATTTTAATTTGGCAATGATAGTAATGATTATTATTACGAGAGTGTTATGATAATGATGATCGATAGTGAACAATATTGAAAGTACACGAATTTTTTTTTTTTTGATTTTCATTTATGAGAAGTGAAGAAAGTGTGAAATTTTCTATTATCACGCGGATTTATAGAAAAATTCAATTATCCATTTTCGTGTTGTTACTATCAAAAAAAAAAAAGAGAAAAAATTTTTTTTATAATAATGAAAGAAGATTGGAAAAGAGAAAAAAATCAAATTAATTCTATATTACGGATTGAGAAGGTGTGGATGACTTGATTTATTGTTACAATACAGAAGATGATAAATTAGTTTAAAAATTTTGTATAAAAGGAAAATAACAAAAAAAACTGTCTATGTAATTCTATTGTAAAATATAGTGGAATATTTTCTTTTGGACTTCATTTAAAAGGCGTTAAAGGAAATAATTTTTTTTTTATTTTGATAACAGTATTTTTTTTATTATAGGATACTCTTACTATTTAATTATAATTTGCAAAGGAATTGCTTGATCATTAATTTTTCATGGGTTTAAACTTTATTATAATCATGGGCTACAAAATCGATGCCAACTTTCTTGTGATTCCAAATTCTAGCCCGACCTTGGTTTTTATTCTGAATCTGATTTCTAATCTTTTTGTTCAATAATATTCTGATTATGCAGCAATTATAATTATTATTTAAAGGTTTTTCATTGGCCCTTACAACCTTTTGGATTTTATCAGGTCCTGCTAATTAATTTACATAAACAATTTTACAATACGTGATTATGATAAAGTCTTACAATACAAAAGTAAATAATTTATTCAAATATCATAATTATTCTTAAAAAATTTAATTTCTTTTTAAAACTCATAAATATTATTGTGACATATTGTGTCTTCCGTTTTCAAGATTTGACTATTATGCATTTTATATTTGGATCTGTAACTTGAAATTTTGTGACAATCATCAAAAATGTGTTTGATGGTTAAGCTAATTACCACATTCACACATAGGTGGAAAAATTTTTTTCAAAAAGAAATTTATGTGTAGAATTGGAATATAATATTCTTAGTCTTGTTAATTTAATTGATTTTTGATGCGATTTTAAACAACTTATACTCTTTCATTCAGTTGTATTTAATTTATTATTCCGTAATTTGTTATTTTGTATATTGAGCTATTCTTCGTTCCAAGGAATTTTCAATTGTTTTGCTTATTAATTGTCCATAATTCGTGTAAACAAGAGTGTAAATCATATCAGTTGGTTCTTCAATTAATATTTTTGGTAAATCATAGAGTACTCAGCAATGGTAAAATAATTTTTAAAGTATGTGTTTATTTTGACCGAAAATTAACCTGAAATTGTTGAACAAGTTAAAATTATAATTTTTAAGTTATATATTACGTGGTTAATCTCGCAAATGTGTGATAAATCATTAGTTTATAGTTATATGTATATGTATGTATATTTGGAGATGAAATGTTAACATTGGATAAATTTTGCGGAATTTTTCATAAGTTAAATATTTTTTATTGTGCAATTTAATTTTTATTACCCGATTCTATTCTTTTATATAAGTTCAGTTTAAACGACCAATTTTCAAGTACAATAGTATAACAATCCAAAGTAATTAACCTCTATAGTAATATTACAAAAATAATGCTATAAAATCACATTACGACATAATATTGTTATCGAAATTTTAATCATTTAGAAATTTCGAATGAAATCTATATCTTAAATACATATTCTACTAGAACATTTATCCACCAGGTGCCAATATTTTAAGGGCTTAATTATGGCCTCAGACTGAAAATTATAAGCTCATCCATTACAAATAAAAATATATAAATTCTTTTGAGTCATTCTTGCAATAATGTATTGAATTTCGAAAATATATAATATATTGCATGAAATTTATAATAAAGATAAAAAAATGAATGCCATTATTAAATTGAAATTTTATTTCATAACACGTTTTCATATAAGAAATCACATACTCAATTAGCTATTGAATATTGTATATAAGTACCTACATGCCGGCTTTTTGCTCGAAGGCAAATACGTTAATAATAACAATAATACTAAATAATGATAATAATGGAACTTTACTAACAATAATAATTTATAAAAATGTCAAAAAAAAGCAAGAAAAAAAAGGAATTTTTCATTATGTGTTTTTCGAGACTCGCTCTTTTTGTTTGCCTACCTTATTTTAAATTTATTACTTTTATTTTTTAACTTATCACATTTTGATTTTCATGCTTTTTTATCACATCATATGAGTGTATAGTGTGTGCATAATTTTGTATATAGATTTGTACAATGAACCTACATCAACACTTTCAATTTTATGGCTGGTTAATTTATTTATAATTTTTTTTTTTTTTATTTTTTATATTTAACTTTTTCTTTCATTTTGTATTTTTTAACATTTATTTTCATATTTTTTTTTCTTTGCTTTCGTTACAGATTTAAATAATGAAAAAGATCATTAGACGATGGCTTTTGATTTTTACAGGTAAGAAGAATTCATAAATTTGTTATACTATTATTATTATTATATTTATAACAGTTATTAATTATGTTGGTATATGAATTTATAAAAGATAATATATAATAATAATAATAGAAAAAAAAGTACTTTATAATAGTTATAATAAGAGATGACAGAAAAAATGTGTTTATGTGTGCGTTTTTCTCGTATATATGCATGTGTGTATGGTATATGTGTGGGGTGATAATTGAATTGTTTGTGAATGAATTTGAAATGTTTAACATATATGATCAATTTTATGATTATAGTTTATTAAATGAAAGGTAAAAATAGTAGGCGGTTATTTTTTTTTATTTTATTGTACAATTCAATAGAGTAAATGATAATAGGGCTTTAATGAAAGAAAATAGTATTGTTATTTTGATATAATAATAAAAAAAAAAATTGTATTTTAAAAAATTCATAATATAGTTACGTAAGAGCTTTTTTTTACAATATCTACTTTAAAATAAAATATAAGTATAACACTTATAACATAATAAATAGGTGACAATAAATTTTTAAATTATAATGCTTATCCAATTTGTAGCGAAATGGAATAATATATAGGAAATACAAAGTTCATCAATTATAATTTAAATGACTCCATATAATAATTGTGATTTCATATCAAAATAATGGAAAATTATTGTTATTTCCAAAAGAAGAAATAAAATTATTAAAGATTTTTTTATAATTTTAATGAGTCTAACTAACGCCAGTTTTATATTATGAATGGAAGAGCGAATATTGGTATAAATTTTTTACAAATGATTTTTATGATTTTAATAATTGGCGCCGTAATCACTCCATTTTCGTACCCATAACCAAAAATATAATTATTATTAAAAACTATTTGTTTGTTTTAAATATTACTCTTTAGGCGTTTTAGGCTTCTTATTAAAATTTTGTTTATAAAATATATTTTTTTCTTACCCTACTTGATTCTAAGTCAAGCATCACTTCTGCAAATCAAAGAAGTTAACTATAAATGGTGACCAGCCTGCCGTATTTTATAATATTGCATATTCAACTTTATATAATATTTAATATAATTATTAAGGTAATCTGATCAGGGTTTGAACCCCAAGCCCTTCGTTTAGACGACCGGTACCATAACCACTGCACCATTTGACAGATAAAATTGCAAAATAATGTGTTTATAAATTTAGCTTTGTCTTTCGATTTGCATTTCTCTTTGCAAAATTTCTACACTGTTTAAATTTTTAAAGAAAGTTTTTACTTATCTCCTAAAAGTTACGTCCACGCAAACTGCCAAACTGCTTTTTGATTTCTTATATGTATTTTACAAATTTTTGGTATTTTGTATACTACAAACGTAAAATTACCGTTATATAGTAGTTATCTAATTAACCGTAATTTTAATACCGTTTCTTTAAGGTATTAATTTTGAATAGACAGTAAAATGTAGAAGTTTTAAATATTGTAATTATTTGCGGACATTAATTATTTGTGATAGACACTATGATCTTTTTAATTTGTGTCCTCCTCCTTAAAGTATACAGAAAGACTATATGTGGCTTTCATAGAAATAAATGATATGCGATAGTAGAATAAAAATTTTAAAAATTATTGCTTTATTTTATTATTTTAGAGAATTGAAGGCACGAGTGAATGAAGGTGTTAACTACAGTTTTTGAAGTGTCGAGTAAATTAACCTTCTTTCAAAGGAAAATAATTTAAGAATGGGATATAACATCTTTTAAAGGAAACGTATCTCTTAAACTGAGTCGTTTTTTGAAAAACGGGTTTTTGCATATAAAAGATTCACTCGTGGCTTCATTCACTCGTGGCTTCAATTATGACAGCTTTCAAACTATAACAGTCATCCTTGCAAAAAAACAGACAAGCATATCTTCAAATTTCAAATTTAATTTATGAATTCTGTCACCTTAAGTATACAAAATGTTAAATAATAAAAACAATAAACTGTAAAATATTAAATAAAGTTTCCCGCCGGAAAATTCAAACAGCTATTTTAAAAAACAAAAAGGTCTAACATAATTTTTAACTTCTTTTTTTTCTTAAAAATAACCTTCAATTTAATTAAAAAAGATTATTTTATAATTATTATTATTGTTTATTAATGATATTGTCATAAATGACTCATGACATAGACAATTTCTTCAAGGTTAAGCGAAAAAGTTCTCATAACATAATTATTACATTAAACTTACATACATAAGTGTGTGTTTTCGTTTGTATTATATAATAATATAGTCATTGAATTTGAATTGTCGTATCAATGTATCTTTGATGTGTGTAAATAGTATAATTAAAAAAATAGAAAAAATTTTTAACTACTTTTGTAAACAGAGAAGTAAACACTAAAATACCACCGTTATTGAATTTTTACATACATACATACTTTTATTTGCTATTATTTTTATTAAAGAGAAAAAAAACTTTTCATCATATAATGTAATTAATATTTTTATTTTGTTTTTGTACAAACAGTACTTATAGCTCTAATGACACATGCTGGCGCTATAAGAGCTTCATCTTTAATATTTGGTAAATCCTCTACTACAACTACAACAACAACAACAGAGACTCCGTCAGCTGAAGATGATGATGATGCAGCACAGGTAAGACCAAATATTTAATATTTTTCCATTTTGTTTGTATAGGGTGTAGTTTTTCTAAAAAAAGTTTCCATAGAAAACGAAAAGTTAAAAATTCAAATTATGTGAATTTTAATAAGTCATGTGATTCCAAAATCTAAAAATATTGTAGTGCAACTAGATATTCATGACAAAGCTTTTTTTGTTAGGTGTCAAATTATATTTAATCATGGGTCTACATAAAACAGGAACGTGATTATATTAAAAATTTCAAAAATTAAAAACAATGGTCGAGATTCACTTTAGGGTCTGTTATCTTGGAACCTGTTGAACTATGAACAAAATTAGACCTTCTCATTAGAGTCAATATTTACTATGGTAAATAGCAGGGCACTTAGGAAACTGTCACCCTGTATATTTAAAGGAACACGTACATATTTACATGTGTGCATACATATACTATATATTTTATGTAAACAATATTATGTCTGATAACTTTTCTGTTAAGTATTAAGTAAATACAGTAAGATGAAATTGTCCCACGTTCATCAAAAGTTATACAAATAAAACTATTAATAAAAATAAAAATAACAAAAAAAAATGAACTAATACTCGTATTGTGTAATAGAGATATGTTGGCACAATTTCTGTGATCTGACATATTGTAACTAGATAAATGTTATTTCATTATAATCTGTATTCATATAAATAAATATTTTCAAGGAACGTTTGCATCAATATCACGAATTTGTTATAACGTTTATAATCGAATTGTTCATTTTACGTTTTCAGAAAAATATTTTTTTCTTCGTATAATGATTAATATTTTATTAGTTAGTTGGGAAGAACAATTTGGCTTTCTGTAATAATGTTATTGGTAAATATTCGATTTAATCATATTGATAATCCAAAATTTTCTAATCTCTCCATTTAGAATAAATAAATTTTTCTACAACCTATAATCTGCAATGCATACAAAAGAAAAGCAATCTACCGAAATAAATGTACCTTACTAGACTACTCTTAATCATGCCCGGTTCTGGTTGGTTCGGCGCTACGGCCCTTCATCATTTTTAAAGCAATGAACAAAACCAATAAATATTACAAATTTCGTATAATAGTGTCGTTCCTACTTTCTGGCTTTCATTGCATATGTATATTTTACATATACCGTAGATTCGGCCTCAAGAGAGCGGCGTCTCAATTCCCTGTTTATTTAAGTTAAAGCATTTAGAAGAAGCTGCAAACCTCTTAACGCATATGTAGCTAACTAGTGATTTAAATTTGCAATATGAATCGAAATTGATCCTATAGTTGGGTGTTATTAAAAATTTCTATTTCATATATTTGATTTTGATTTACGTGAATTTCTCATTTTATATTGTGTTGTCATTTTTTTATTTTTATATTTATTTGTTTGTATTTTTATTTGATCTTCTTTTTTGTTTGCGCTATTGTTACAAATCATTCTTTGAATGAAGAGCACTCAGATTTGAAAATTGTTAATAATTTTTTTAAAAGATTTTTTTTTTTTTTTGCAAATGAGGACATTACCCAGTTCAGATGTTTTAATGACATTTTAAGTTTTTGCTTTCATGGTATAGCATGTAGGGAAATTGGATATTTATTATGAAGTGTACATAAAATAAATGTAAGAGGTTAGATAACACATTTATTTTTTTTTGTTATAGTTTTGAAGTGGATTATGTATATTTTACCGGTAATAAAAAATATAATTTTAATTAATTTGAAAAAAAAGTGTAGGATTATTATGGTAATACTATATTGTAGTGAAGAATATAAAAGTTTTGAGATAAATTTTGACAAAGGATTAGATTGTGAAATTTATGTCAACTTATGTGGTGAATTGATAAATTTGATTGACATATCTGTCAGACTCTTTTTGTTATTAATTTAAAATTTAATGTATAAGAGTTATAATTGTAATGGCATTGCCATTATAAATATAAAGATCGTACAGTCAACCCTCCTATAACACGATGAGTGCGTACCGCGTTATAAGAAACTCGGATCTAACCGTACAAACACGGCTAATTCATAGCTCGTTGGAAACGGCACTATAAGAAGCTCAGATTTTAGTATAAATCACATCATTCGTACCGCGTTATATGAAGACCAATAAATACAAAAGACAAGATAAATTACAAAATTATTTTTATTGAATTGAATTGAAGAGTTCGTATAAATCATATAGTTCGTATAGTCCAATTATAAATCACAAATTAAGCAGCAAAAAGCTGAACAAACGCACGGTGCAGAAAAAATTTTAGAAAGACTTGGACACCAGCGAAACGTATGCACTGTGAAAGAGCTCTGGAATATTTAACCACTTGCGAAAGGAGGGCTGTTGCAATTTTAGCTCCGCATTATATGGAAACCGCGTTCTGCGAGTACCGCGTTATAGGAGGGTTGACTGTATATTTTTCCAGTTTGTTTTTAAAAATTTTATTTCTAAATTACTTGAAGGCAAAATTAAAAAAACAAAAATCTTGAAGAATATTTTCTTTAAAAATTATTATATTGTAGCACAGAATTCAAATATGTACCAGAAAATATTCTTGACCATATAAAATAAAGGATTTAAAGATGTTCAAGTATACAGCTACGCATTCAAGTACAGAAATCTAGAGAGTATTTTTTGAAGAATGTAGTAGTTAAGGAGCGTACTTTCTCTCGGTGAATCATATGACGTACAGTTGAGATTTGCATTCAATTGTCACTTAACCTGTAGTGTGGTTGGGTGGTCGCTACAAATTTTTCCCCTACTGAAGCTGACATACCCTTCTCTAAGGCTCTTGTCTATTTTGCTTTTTATTCTGGAGTGAACTGTAAGTGCTAATACCTTGATAACAAAATTTGGTGTTAAAATGCCTCGCATATTTTTTCATTTCGATAAGTCAGCTTTTCTGCACTTTTTCTGTTCCAAATTATTCTGAATTTTGAATACATGGTGTTTGTTCTCTTCAAAAGTTCAACTAGTAATACAATCTACCAGGTCGTTATAATGTTTTCTCTTATATTTATTGCGTGACAATTAACAATTTTATTTAATATTGCGTATTCAATGAAACTGAATCCCAAAGTCAAGAAAATGGTTTATAAGATATTTTCTATTAAAATGAAAATGATTGTGTCATTTAGCAAAAAAATTGCATAGTAAAACGATTTGCTTCACCATAATGCAAGTTTTTATTAAAAAAAACCAAAAAGACGGCCAAGTCTACCTTATTGGTAGAAATGAATCATTTATAATTTTTATAGGTCTAATTCAAATTTTAATTGAAATCAACCTAACCATATTTTTTTGTTTCTCTTGTCCAACTTATATTTTTTTTTGTATGTATTTTGGCTTTTGTTTTTTGTGGTAATTTTGAACTTGAGAGTTTGGTAAATTCTTTTTTCGAGAATTTTTTTGGATGTCGAATTTTTTCCCATTTTTATTTTTGTTTTGTATTTTTCCATATATTTTTTTATTATATTATAATATTTTTGAATTAATAGATATGATATAATAATATTTTTTTTTCATAATAAACTAAGGTTATACAAATATTTACCTCATTGCAATTGGTATAGGAATGCAATCAACCCATAGACCATAAGGCATCAGGCCGCCTGAATATTATATAGAAAATTTTTATATTTATGCTAACCAAAGAAAATTTTTCTATCAGTGAGTTTTATTTTGAACTGAAAATTTTCTTAATATAATGACAAAACTTCATCCTTGTGAAGTATAAAGTTCTTTTTCTGTTTTTATTTTTAACTACAGTGCAATCTTAAAGAGTGCAAAAAAAAATAATAACGAAAAGAAAACTTATCTATCTATATAAGAGCAAAGAGAAGAAAAAGAAGAATTCGAAGAAAAGAAGAAAAAAATAAAACAGGATTCTTGTATAGAATAAGATAGAACCAACTCTTTTTATATGAACAAATATAGAGTTTAAAGAATTTTTCTATTTGGATTGTGTCTTTGCTAAATGAGTTTAACATATTGAAATAGATATTTTACTTGCAAGATGTTCTCATGTAGTGAAATATAATGGAGTTTGTCTGTGTGTTCCATTGATTTCGTTTTACGTACATTTATAAAACACTTTTAGTATCCTTAAGGATATTTTTATATAAAAATCGTTTTTTTACACTATACCTAACAAAATTCAGAAGAACGCAATGTTTTGATATTAATAATTTAGAAGCAAAGGATATGGTATGTGTATAGCCATAAATATTCTCATAATGCGTTTTTTTATATGATTGAATCACCTTGATGTTATTGTCAGGATAACCAGTAATTCAAGTTTGCTTAAATTTTGTTTTATAATTGTTTTGATATCCTTGATTTAAATTTTTGTGGGTATTATTTAAAATGCGTATATACCGCAAAAATTTTATATGTGATTTTATGTGTGTTTATAGATTTAATGAAATTATTATAGTAAAACCAAAATTATTAAATTAAGCACTACATCAGACGCTATTTAACAAAGTTTTATGCTTGCTTATTCTTGTTCTAAGTACCCAGGCGTACATATGAGTATAAAAACCATACACCCCAACAAATATTTCCGTTTATGATTTCATGGAACGCAAATTATTGGGATGTAAACTTCTTTGAACAACCTTGTTTCATCATATTGTTTTTTTGCTTCAGTATTTCAAGGAGATTTTACTCGTTTCTACAAATTTTTTTTCCAGTGTGAGAATTCTTAGTACCTTAAATTTTAAATCTCTTGTATTTATGTGAAAAGATTTTCGTAGCATTTAAACTGGAGTCTCAAATTATCTGTTATTTAAGCCTTATTGCTAAACAAAAATTATATATGGTTGAAAATGAATGTAATTTTAAATTGTATTTAAATTAATTTATAACAATATTCATTGATGGTGTATTTTGATTTCTTTCAGACAACTGAAAGTGCAGAAACAGTTACAAACACGACACATAAACTAACTGGAATACCGCAAATTGATTATATTTGGGATCCTAATTTACCCCGAGAATTAAATGGATATAATTTATCTGATTATCCATTTTATGCTTCACTACCACCACGTGAAGAAATGGATTTCACTTGTGATGGACAACATGATGGATTTTATGCTTCTGTGAAACATAAATGCCAAGTAAGTTTCAAAAATATTGAATTGAATTTGAAATTGAAATAATAAATTTTTAATTAATAATTTTAGGTCTACCATCATTGTGTCTTTGGTATACGAAATGATTTTCTGTGCGCTAATTTCACTGCTTTCGATCAAAAAACTTTCATTTGTCATTTCGTATCAGAAGTTGATTGTAAAAATTCACCAAAATACTTCCATCGGTATTTACAATTATACATAACTTGTTATTTTTGTTTTTATATAATTTATTCTCATCTAATTTCTTAGAAATGATGCATTATATATGGCAACAACATCATCTACATCAACTACCACAACTACAACTACTCCGGCACCTGTCACACAAGCGCCAGCGCCAGTTGTACCTGCAAGGCCTCTGAGACGGAGGAGGCCATTAAGGAGGCGTAGACCGCAAGTAGATTACTACTATGATGATGATTATGAAGATGATTACTATGAAGAGCGACCAAGAAGAAGAAAACAAAGACCAAGAACAAGACGACCAGATTATGGGGAAGATTATGATGAAAGACGTGCTTATGATGATGACCGGTAAAAAAAAAAATTTTCTAAAATTTATTCTAAGAGTAAATTTCATAATGTTTGCAGATATGATAGACGCTCGTCAAATCGCGATAGATTACGTGATGACATAGACGACTACGATGATTACGATAGAAGAATGCCTGAGCGTCCGAGGAATCGACATAGACCTTTAACAATGACAAGATTTGATGAAGATGAACGACCATTAGAACGGAAAAAGCCTGGTGATCGAAGGAGACCTTTAAATGAAGGACGTCGATCACATACTGATAGGAGGTATAATCAAGACGATAGAAGGAGTGTTAGTGATACTAAGCCAAGTGTTGGTAGTGATGAAATTGATTTAGACCGTAGGACGTTAGGAAATGGGCGAAGAAAATTAAGTGGTAGACCATTTGGAAATACTGGAAGAGCACATGAACGTCGCGGAGATGAAGATTACGATGATATATCAGATGAAAAGCGAGATTTCGTAGACAAAAAAGCAAGAGAAAAAGAAGATAAATTGCTAGTCAAACCTTCTGGACCATCATCAAGCAGTCTGAGCTCATTGTTTGATAAACCAAGAGCACCACCAAAAATCTCAAGACCGGTTCCTTTAAATGAGAAAAAGAAATATGACTATTCAAGCCAAAAATCTATATTTTCAACATCAACTAGTCGACCTCGACCAGCTAATGTAGAGTATTATGATGATTATGATGATACCCCTCAAAAAGAAACAGTTAGAGAACCTGATCCACCTGAACCAAGTCCATTTCGGCCACCTTCACCACCAAAACGTCTATTTGCTCCACATAAAGAACCACTAATAAAACCAAAACCTAAAAGTACAACCACAACTACAACAACCACCACAACTCGCGCACCAACAACAACTACTAGCTCTACTTTTTCTACTACAAGTACAACCACCACAACTACTACAACGGAAGCGCCAATACTTTACGATGATGAGTATGATGATGCTCCTATTGAACAAAAACCACAAGAATTTACATCAAGAGAGGAATATAAAACATCTAAAGAGGAATCTGAAGATAAAACTGATAATAAAGAAGAAGTTTCACCTCCAGAAGCTCCTTTACAAGTATCTGCTCCATCTGGTCCATCAGGACCAAGTGAAGAAGAATACGATGATACGTCTTCTCAAAATTCAAATGAAAGTCAGAAAGAATCTGCTGATATAACATCATTGGAAAAAGAAAGTGATTCAAAATCGGGAGAATTAAGAGCAAAATTTAGTGTTAGAGATCCATTCAAATTTACCTTAAATGCAAAATATAAATCAGATGGGAATCGTGAACCTATTCAATCAAAATATGAATTAGCAAAACTGCAACAGCAAGAGGAAGGTGAACCACAAATTAGAGAAGACATAAAGTTTTCGGGAAGAAATGATAATTCTGATAATTTATCAAATTTCAAAGAAGTAAGACCAATAATAAGAATTGTTAAAAGACCATTTTTACCATCACGAGGTGGAAGTCCATACTTACCGCGTGGATTACAAGCTACAGGCGGTGTTCAATCAAAATCATCAATAACGGAAAGTACTCCAGTTGATATGGGATCTACTGTATCTGGTGTTAGAATTTTAGAACATACAGCACCTATTTTACGTGGCAATGGTGTAACAAGTTATGATGATATTACTGGATATCATATGGGGCCTAGAACAACTCAACAACCACAAATCGATAATCCACCGAGAGCAACACTCGATGAACTTTATGAAAATGAATACGATGTAACATTAAATGATGCATTAAATCCAACATTAAAACCACTAACATCGCGCGGTGGTTATTCATCATATTTAAGTAAATATGAAAAAAATCGTTTCTCATCAAATTACCCACATAGTAGTGATTCTTATTATTCATCCTCAGATTTACGTAGAAGTGCAATACACCCACATAGTAGGCAACAATATCAGCAAGAACTGATACGTCATCAGTCGAGTGTTAGATTACCGAATCGAAATAGTCCTCGAGGATCATATGTTTATATGCCAGACTATGAATATTAGTAGTTATATTATTCTCTTTTTTTATTATTTCTAAAAAACGCAACAAAAAAAAAATTCTTTTATGATCACACAACTTTTTGTGAAAATTCCTATTAAAAAATTTCTATTAAAAAATTCAAAATATTATAGATTTGTTTAAGAATTAAAAAAATTATAGTGAAGCTCTTTGAATTGTTAATTTTCCTCTATTGTTTATTTTTTGTAATTGTGAAGTCTTTATAAAGAAGTTTTTAGATCTGCACATTGCTAGCAGAAAACTATTTTTTTTTAAATATTTAGTCAGAACGAGTAAAATAAATTTTTAATAAGTAATTGTAAAAAATACTCAATTAATAATGAAAATATTCAATGTGTGTATATTTGTATCGTGATAGCAAGGATATTTTAATTTTTTAATTAGTTTTTTTAATTCTTGCATCTATAATCAACTTGCATTTTTAGATTCTATTCTCTTGTAAATTATTAATTTCATCTTAAAATGGATCTTTTTTTTTTAATGTAATTTCAGAAATTAATTTTAGAAATGTATAGATTTTTGTAAAATTAAATATACAAAGAAAATTGAAAAAAAAACATACATAAATATATTATATATATTATATATATGATATAAATGAAAAAAACTTTTGATATCTATTTAGAAATAGATCACTCTCCTTAAAAATTGTATAGACTAAAGTATTAGAATTAATGAAATCGAAAAGAAAAAAAAAAAGAAAACAAAATAATAAAATAAAAATAAATTAATTTTATAAATGGTGTACTTTATTTAAATTTTTATATTTTAAGCTGCCTCTAAGTATAGATCTAGTCTATACTCTACCGGAATTTGTTTACTTTATCTCCCTAATAAGCTAAAAAATTTTAATGCACAAATACGAAATCGTAATAAATCTTAGGAAAGATTAAAAAAAAGGCTTTTCTGTAAAATCACACAAATTATCTTTTCCTTACAACTATAGAAATCACACTAGAAGACTTTCGATAATTCACTTTTAATTCTAACTAATTTTTGAATTCATCATGTTTGATGAATTCAAAATATAAAATCTGCAAAAGTACCATGTTTAATTTCATAATTTAGTGCTGCTTTTTAAAAGTATGTACTGCTTTAAATTTCTATTTCAGGGTTCATTTAAAAAAATAGGAACATATTTTTTTTTGTGTTGTGAAGCCTAGCTAAAGTAAAAGTACTTAAGTGTTTTTTTCTTAAAGTAATTGTATCAACTATAGCCTTTTATAGTCATAGAAAAACTTTCACAAAATTTGTGACTGCAAGCATCATGTGCCTACATACAAAGCATCATATGCCCCTAGAAGAAAACTTAATATCTTAAATGAAGCACCAATATTATGTTACAATATTTTCCGAATTTGTAATCTTTGACTATAAGTATTGCATTTAAACTATTTGCCGTAAAGTATTGCAAATAATATATACTTGCCACTTTGAAAAAAATAGTATATACTGTATATATTTCATATAACTACAGAATAGATCAAAATTAGGGTTCTTTTATACCTTTAGAGGTGAGAAGTCCGCATAAATTTCAATATCCCATTTTATACAACTTTTGTAAAAGCTTCATTACCTTTAATGATGTAAGTATTTTAAATACATGTATTTCATGTAAATATAATCGACAACCGTAATGTATTGTATTAATAATCGACCACCGTAATTATAATTTAAAAAACAATATCTTGATAAACGAAGACGCCCAAAGAAATTCAAAGAGGCACTACCTTTGAAATGAATTATGAAAAAATATTATTACATATTTTCTCAAAATTTCCGCCTGAATATATGCAAGATTGTAGGCAAAAATTTTTCGAGAACAAAATTTTATTTATTTAGCTATCTACATATGCTTATTTTTATAGGTATTGCTATTTTTATTAACTTTACTTAATTTATTATGAGAATGAAAATTTGCTCAAATAATATTTCTAAAATATTTTTCCTTACCCATCCTAAATACTGCCAGTCAATGTTTAACTATATTTATAATTCTGTCTATGTACGAGTACCTATTTGTTTCTGGATAGAATTATGCAGGAAAAAAAGTATTATGCTAAAATAAAAACTAATGAAAATAAATGTAATTTAATTTTATAATAATTTTTCTTTGGGCGTTATAGTATGGACCTAGTCTTGAGATACTTTGCAAACAGTTTGATTCATTTAAAATTAAAAATATTGAAGTGATTATAATTATATTTATAAAAAAAAATTTATTTTATGTTATTGTTTTTTTTTTTTTACATTACATTCACATTTAGATTTTATATAAAATTCTTCACATATTTATAGTAACTTCAAATTTGTTCTCTTTTTTTCTTTTACTATTTATTTAAAATATTTTTTATTATTTTATTCAATATTAATTAACTTTCTTAAAATTTCTATTCTATCTTTGTGGCAAATTTAAAAGAATTTAAATATTTTACGTTTAATAAGATATTTTTTTTTTTTTAAATTAAATTATACTATAATCATATAATTTTTTTTGATAATAAAATGCGTGATTTTGAAATATAATAAAATAATGTTGTTAAAAAATTGTAATAATTCAAAAAAAAAAAAAATACAGAATTCAATTATTTATTGTTATATTATATAGTATAACATTTAAAGTGTAGTTTTCAAATTAAATAACAATATTAAAATAATGCGATTTTTATTTAGTTATTTTTTTTTTAATTTAAAGCGATATTCTTATAGTAAAATAATAAATTTATAATTTTTTTTTTATTGTATATAAAATTGTATAAAGATGGCATTATCTTGTTAACATTTAAAATTGTTTTATATCTCATTATAAAATTAATTATTATGTAATTATTTATTCATACAAGCAATTTGAAAAATAAAAAATATGTAAAATATTTAAAATATCTTTAGTAATCTGATGAAAATTTTATTAATTAAATAAAAATATGATTCCTTTAATTTAAGGGCGTTTTGTCAAAATGCATTAACTTTTGAAAAAACAAAATGTAGAAAATTATTTTGCAATTTTGCAATTTTGCATTATTTTTATTGAAAAACTAATGTTTAAGCAATTTTGTATTTATTTATTTATTCAGCCCGAAACGTTAGTAAATTTAAAAATGAAACATTTTACTTTTTTTATATCAATATTTAATTTACAGCTTAATTCCAACTAATAATCATTTTATTAACAGATAACTCTAGTATAATAATTATTAAACTTTTTCCAAAATGACGATATTTCTAATAATTTAATATTAATTTCATTAAATTGCAGTATGAATAAATAATTTTAAAATTTCTTATATAATTTTTAAATCTTTTTTTTTTTGTATACAAAAAAATAATATTAAAATAGGCAGTTAAAAGTTATTTGGCAATTTATTTTCTTTTTTTGTTCTTTTTCGCAATTACTTATCAAAAAATAAACTTTTTATGGCAAATATTAAAAAAAAAATAATAATTTTTTTTAAATTATTGTTTTGTACCTTATGAATTTTAAACAAACATTTTGAAATTCCTAAAATAACATTCTAAAATGAAATTCTTAAAAATTTTTTTTATGCATTTTCTTCTCTTATTACTTTTTTAACGAAAATTATTTAAATATAAAAAAAAAACCCGTATTTTTTAATTACGAATGATTAAATTTAACAGCAAATCTCATTTTCTTTTCTTTAATTTTTTTTCATTAAACTACATAATTATATAATTATAAACGAAAAAATAAGCAACTACATTTATATATATCATTTGCATCTACATATATATATATATAATATTGTATAAAATAAATTTAAAAATAATAAAAAAAAAAAAAATATTCGAAAATATATTCGTAAAATTTTCGAAATTCAAATGCTTAAGTAATTTTGGTTTTTAATTTAAAATTTTTTTCTCTTGTTTGGATTTCAAAGTTTTATAATTAATAAATTTTTCTTAATATTTTAATTTAATTCTTTATTTTATCATCTATGGTTCTAATTTATTATTTTTAAAACAATCATCTGGTAATGCTGCGGATATCGCCTCAATATTATTGACTTCAGCACGTAACTGATTTACTTCTCTTTCATATTTTGCAATCCATTTATTTTGTGAATTGCGGTTTTCTGTCAATTTATTAATACGTTCAGTTAAATTTGCTTTGTTAAGTTCACGTTCAGCGACATTTAAACGTTTTTCTAAAAATATAAATTTATTAAATAAAATATTTAAAAAATTAAGTATAATTGTTTATTTTATATTTAGAAACGCTTGCCTACCTAATGAGTCTAATTCATCAACATTAATATCCTTTAAATTATTTAAAATTTCCATTATAGAATTAATTTCTGTTACAGCTTTCAGTGCTTGATCTCTAGCTTCTAAAGTTCCTGTGTTAGCTTCTCCAACCTAAAAGTTAATTGTGTCAGTAAAGTAACATCATATATTTTATAATACAATTATACAGGGTATTATATACCTTTCGAGATGCATCAGCTAATAAATTGCTATCTTTTTTTGTACTTTCTTCAGATTGTCTGGCTTCTTGTTCAGTTATTAAAACACGATGATTTAATTGATCAGCTTCTTCACGTAATTGTTTAGCTTTTTGTTTAGTTTCAGTAGCTTTTTTACGAATATTTTCAGCATCCTATCAAAATACAAAATTTGGATTTTTTTTTGTTTTTAAAGGAAATCTCTTATCGTATATAAAAATACCTTGGAAGCTTGTTCAGCAAACTTTTCTTGTGCTTCTTGAGCATTCTTTCTGGCTTCATTTGCATTTCCTAAAGCACCAGAAAGAGCCTTTAAAAATAATAATTTTTAGTAATTAAAATATTTTCAGCTTCGATTCGTAATTTTCTTACCATTTCAGCATCACGAATCATACCTTCAGCGATTTTAATTTCATTTTCAATTCCGGGGACCGTTTTTAAAGCTAATTGTGCATTTTCAGACGATTTTTGAACATCAGCTTGGAAATCTATATTAATTATTTTCAATATTTTTAAGATTTTAGTTCATGGTTAGGTTAAAAAATAAAATTACCTGCAAGAGTATAATAAGTGGCATTTGCTTCTTTTAAAGTGCTATCGCCTTGTGCTACAGCTTTAACTGCATGATCATATGCACTCTTAGCTTCATTATATAAATCAATATCATCCTGTTTTTGTATTCGGCCTCTTCAAAATTAAATTTCAATCACATTGAGTTTATAATCTACTCTAATATTACCTTTCAATGAGCGTTCTAGCTAATGCATTTTCTTCATCAGCCTCAATTAGAATCAAATCATTTTCATTAGAAGCACCTTCAACTTTATTTTGTAACAAAATTGCCTTTATGTATAAAAATAATATTTAGATTGAAATATTATAATGCAAAAATATTTATTTTACTTGCTGATGTGCATCCGCAGCTAGATCTTTTAAATGTTGCGTATTTATTTCAGGAATTTCCATTCTGTTCACATTGGTAAACAATTCTAATGCAGCATCAAACGATTCACTTGCTTTTCGTAATGCTTCCTTCGTCAATTGTGAAGTTGAACCTAATGACGCTTTTAATGAATCGAGCTCTAAGCGCATGTCTGTTCTTAGTTCATCGCTAAAATAAGATTATTTCATGTTAAAGATGCACCTTGATTTTATTTTTCATTCTACCTAATATTTTTTTGCAAATTGATTGCATTTTTAGCCAAGTCGTAAGCTTTTTGTGCCGCTGCATGAGCATCTGTTGCATTCTTTAAATCTAATTCTGCCTGTGATTCCAACTCGTCAGCGATTGCTCTTGCTTCTCTTGATATTTCACTGATTTGTTCCGATTGTTCACCAAATTTATTCGCTTTGTCTCTAGCTTTTTGCAATGCCGTTTCACCTTCGTTGTTTAAAAGTTCAAGAGCAATCTGTAAATGTTATCAAAACAATACATCAAAAAAATAAAACGTCATAAAAATTTTTAAAATTACTTACAGCCAGCTCATTCTTAGCGTTTTGATAAATGTTATCGGCTAAAGTAATATTTTTCGCAACTTTTTCAATTTCTAAATTTGCTGACACTTGCAAAGGTTTGGAATTATCAAGCATTATTTGTATGTTATCCAATAGCTCGTGTAAATCATTTAATTTTTCAATGAGCGATTTATCACCTCCACCAGCTCCAGCTTTTGCGTCATCTAAGAGAATATTAACTTTTTGCTGGACATCTTTTAATTTCAATTCAAATTCATCGTCATTTGTTACAGGTGATTTTGCTATATTATCTAATGTTTCACTTAGACTTCTTAATTTCGCTCTATGGTCGTCCGCTGCATCTTTAACCAAATTGTAGCAAGCTGGACAATCTAAACAACCTTGGTGACGATCATATTTATTTTCTTTACATCTGTCACATCGACGGCCTTCAACATTGTCATTACAAGGACATTGGCCATATTGATCACACTGATATCCTTTAGAACCACTTTGGTCACAGTCACAAGCAAGACAACCTTCATTCGAAAATCCGTAGTAATATGTTGCGCACTGGTCACAATGTTCTCTAAAAATATTCAAAACATTAAAATAAACTTAAGAATAAGGTATTAATTTAATAATTAACTAACCCTGTAACTCCCGGTTTACAGAAGCATTGTCCTGAGAATAAATCACATGATGAATTATAACTGCCGATTGGATTACAATTACAACTTTCACAACCGTTGCCTGATACCAAATTGAAATATCCTGGCTCACATTCATTGCAATCACGTCCAAAAACATTTGGTTTACAACGACAATTTCCAGTTAATTGATCACATATTGATATGCCATCTTCAGTTTGTTCGGTTCCAGCTGGAACACAATTACATTGTTCACAGTGGCCATGCGGTAAATCAAGAGGATCTCCAAAATGCCCAGGTAAACATTGATCACAATGATCTCCATCTGTGTTATAAATACATTTCAAACATTGACCAGTTGTTCTGTTACAGTTTCCTACAGCATTTGGGTCAACGTTTCCATTACAATCGCATGACTTACAGTCTCTTACTTCTCCAATTAAACCATTTGGATCACCATAATAACCATCTGAACATAATTCACAACGGGCACCGAAATAACCCATTGGACATTCTAAACATATTACAGTGTCATCAGGCATTTGTAAACATGCTCCATCATTAGGACAAGGACATTTTTTACAATCCCATTGCGTTCCAACTAATGCATTACCATAATAACCGCGAGCACATTGATCGCAAGACTCTCCAGCTGTGTTATGTTGACATATACATCTTCCAGTTTCAGAATCACAAATTTCAGCATGTTTATGACAATCACATGGAATACAAGGACTAAAAGGACCACCTCTAGCAGGACTATGTCTATAACCAGGTGCACATGATTCACAGAAATTTCCTAAATAACCTTCAGGACAAGTACAATATTCAATCCAGGTAGCAGGTTTTCCAGCAACACCAAGATGTGCTGTTTCTAATTCAACATCATCCAAAATAGCTTCACCTTGAACAGAATAACTTGCTCTAATACGAATTGCAGTTAAATTACTCAAAATTGACATAAAACTACGTGCTGATTGACTTGGTTGCCATTGATAATCCGGATGCTCATGTAGTCTAAACTTATATTCACGTTTGTTTTGATCAGGTAATGGATTTCCTTGTGCAAAAATTGGTAATGCTATTTTTGAACCTGAACCTTCTAAAATTACATCATATGATGATGGATTTGGACTTATTTGACCTACTAGATGTAACTGGAATTTCAATAAATGATTATATGATGCTCTTTGATTGCCCAGGAATCGATCGGATGCATTGAAGTAAACATAATCATTACCATTAGCTATAGTAACAATACTATGACTATATTGATTATATTTTAAGTCAACCCGTCTATTATAATTATCTGTTGCTGTCCATCTTTCATTTCCTTTATTGAAGCTAGATATAATTGATATTGCTGAGTAGCCATGTGCACTATGACATTGTGATGTATGTCCATAACAGAAGCATGGTGTACATCCAAAACGATTATCAGAATTTAAATTGAAGTAACCAGGCTTGCATCTTAAAATAAGTTATAATTAATTTTTTGTCTAAATTTTCTTTTGACCAATTTTTTTATAGATTTTTTTTTTTTAACTTACTCTTTACATTGTTCTCCCTCAACATTTTCTTTACATAAACAATGTCCAGTATTTGGGTCACAGTATGGTTTATTATCTAATGAACCTCTTGGATCACAACCACATGGTTGACAACCGTGTATACTAAATTGATAATAATTGCTATCACAACGATCACATTTTTCACCAGTAACACCAGGTTTACATTGACATTTACCCTCTGTATTACATTGTAATGAGCGTGAACCTACAGTTAAAATATATTATAAATTTTATTCATATTTTTAATTAATTCGTTTTTTTTTTCTTACCAATTGGATCACAACCACAATGTATACAATAACCATCTTCTCTCATATAAAAATTTTCTTTACATCTTTCACAATGTGGACCATCACGATTATCTCTACAATCAATACAATGACCTCCATGCCCCGTTAAATTGAATAGAGCACGATCAAAGAAACATTTTTCGGATTTTCCATTGCAATTACAAGCTGTACATAAGAAAAAAATTAATAGAAATTAATAAAAAATATATTCAAAATACAGGAGAAATATTAAGGTGAAAAAATATTTACATATAATTGAATACCAAGATGAAAATTTTGGGATTTGATTCGTTTGATAGTACCAGTAATTACAGTTAATACTATTATACAATAATATATTTATTAATATTGTATTAAAAATTTTCATTTTTTTATTCTACGGTTTCGGTGAAATAATTTATTGCAGAACAGTAACAGAACTATTTTCTAGGACGTTCAAGAGTGCACTAAGTTAGTTCAATTGAATTTGTGGAAATGTTTAACAGGTAAGTGCAACAAGAATTTATATAATTATATAGAGCTGTATGATATAATTGAATGAAAATAATATTATAAAGAACTTTTCACCATAAATGGGAAAATACTTTTTGTACATATCTTCCTTGTTCTCTATATAAGGTTCAAAATATTCTTCAAGTTTATAATGCAAAGACTTTCTTTTCTAACATCATATTGTGTTTTTTTAAACAATCTACATAAAAATTTTAAAAGTTATAAAATATTCTAAATCTGGATATCGATTTCAATGCTGAAAAGTTTCTCTTGTGTACTTTTCCTATTTCTGTTCTTTTTTCCTAGTCACGCCGTTATGTTATCTAATAATCATAAAATTATTGTATACATTATTTCAATTGTATAAATTTTCTTCTTGTCTAGTAAATTTTCACTTTTGTGCTCAGAATTATGCTATTTTTTTTTTATACCTTTGAAGTTTTTCCTTATTAAACATTTACTGAAAAGTACTTACGTTTACATTCATTAACATTTTTAGATGTTGCACGTTTCCATTCTTGGTCATTAAATGCTGGAAGACATCTTTCACAATCAGGTCCATCTGTGTTATGTTTACATTCACATACTTTTGTATGTTCACCATTTAAACCGGTACTTACAACACAATTACTTGCATGTCCATTACATTTACAACGTGCACCAACAGCAATATCAGATATTGCATAAAAATATGATTTTAAAACTTGAGCATCAAAGAATACTTCATCTCCGAATGTATTCAAACGATCTAGAGTAATTTTGATATCTGTAGCTGTTACCCAATTCTAAAAAAAACAATGATAATGGTTATTATGTATACATAACTTTGAATTACTTAAAAAAATATCTAGTAAATGCTCAATATTGTTCTGCGCAAAATAGTGAGCTATTAAATTCAAAAAAACTTTAAATGTCTTGTAAATATAATTTTTTTTATTTACCTGTAATGTTAAACTATTTTCGAAATTTATTGCGCTTGGTCTACCTTCTAATGTTGAAAATGCAATATTACCATCCCTTAATGGTGAAATATCACTATATTCGCTTGTACATAATGCTCTTGATTCATCTTCACCACGTTGTATCGATGAACCATCTGGTAACCCATATGTATCACGACATGTAGCACTGTAGAATTGATATGGTATCCATGGTCCATTATGTGAAACACGTTTATATATTGCAAATGATTCCGGCCGAGGGGAACGGAAAACAATCCGAATGTAAGTGATATCATAAGTCTTACCTTAAATGGAAAAAGATGAGATATTGTACGGTTCCAATTATAAATAATAACAACTCGAGGTTTATTTTTTATTGTTTTTAAAGTAATGACAATATTAAAGTAATTGTATGTATGAAGGTATAATGTTGTTATTATGAAGACGATAAAGATAATAGTTACCATAATTTGTTAGCCGTAGGTAAAAAAAAAGAAAATAATAATGATGAAGAGTCATTCTTTTTGCGTGGATTAGGCGCCAATTTTTTTTTTAGTTAATATTCTGTTTGTGATAGTGTTGGCGACTATCACAACAGTAAGTTTATAAAAAAAAATAAAAACAAAATAAGAAATATTCTTTAACAGAAGCTTTTATGAAAACAAAAAAAAACATTGTGATGATATTGTGCAGATAAAGTGATGATGGCAGTATGTGGAGCATAAAATTTTCGGTTTAATGTTGGCTTCTTACACTACTTCTCTAATTTGTACAAGTCAAGTTCCACCACATTTATAATTTTAAGTTTTATGGTATATATGTGGTAGTGTAAGTTAAGAAGGAACATGGAATGTGATGCAAAAAAAAAACTGAAAAAAATAAACAGTATACAAACTTACCAAATCTCAATGTTAAATTCACTTGATTAGGATGTTGAACACCTTCAAACATTGTTTCTGATTGCCACCATGTTGGATTTTGTGGATCATGTATATCAGTTAAATAAATTGAGTCGTGATCACGGTATCGACAAATATCACAACTTTTTTTATTTGAATATCCTGTTTGTACACAAAATTCTCGTTCTCCATGCTCACCACATGTATTCGTTGATTCCATACGTATATTGTATGCAGCATTGACGAATTCTGGTATACATTTCTGCAAAAAATGCAAATGATTTCTGAGTTATTAAATTTTAAATTAATGTTTTATTATTTTAGAATAAGTTTTTTTTTTCTAAAAATTTTTGATTATAAATTCAAAGGCAAAAGGTAATATAAATCCTAAAAATTATAAACATTTTTTTACTTTGAGTAATAAATCCAAAAATAAATTATTCATGAACAAGTAAATACAAAAGTATACGGTGTGGATTTCCCTCGGCTAAATGACAACGAAATAAATTTGGTATTTATACTAATTGTAATCAATGAATAAAATCTATTTTGCTTTACTAATCTTGCACGTTCTGTATGTTAGGTAAGAGTAAATGATATTATGAAATGCGAGTAATACCAAATAAAATTGTCCAATCAATAATGGCAAAAAATGTGGCTTTAAAATATAAAATAAGCCCACAAAAAACTAGCAGTGAATTCTAATGCAGTGAATGCGAGTAATACCAAATAAAATTGTCCAATCAATAATGGCAAAAAATGTGGCTTTAAAATATAAAATAAGCCCACAAAAAACTAGCAGTGAATTCTAAAATAGTTGCGAAACTGAATACTTAAATGAAAGAAGTACATGCAAGTTTTTGCTAGAATGAGAGATAAACTGAAACGCGAAGGCATTGAGACTCATAATCGAGCAGTCACTGCAATGAAATGGTCTATGAATACAATGATGCGATTTGAATTAAATAGAAGATAGAATAGATTCTATGAGAGCAACATAAATATGATAATCTAACGCATGATAAAATGGTTGTATAGAATAATGGCAGACTCCAAATTTAAACTAAAAGAGTTTCACAAAGAGTCTCACAAAAGTCCGCGAATTACACATTTATATTAAGTTGCTAACTGTCCATGCAAACTAACTGTTTATGCAAGCATTATTCTATTTTATAGTTGCTAACCGATTGCCAATAATGCAAGAAAATTGGCATTTGTATCACGTTTCAAGGAAAAATGTGAGAAAATACCTAATATTTGTTAGATTAGCAAATGTATACTATCATGATAAGTCTTTAATATTAATTTTACATTAGTATACTTTTTTCCATTTAAACATAAAAATCAGAATAAAATATTATTAAAAATATTTTTGTTTTGGATTGAGCAATGAGATCCAAAAAATAAGTTAAACTCGAACTCAATCCAATTTTATAACTTTTTTCGCAGTCACGATATTTTTTAGCATAATGCTAAAAATACAAAAACCCTAGTTTTATAAAAATTAATAATACAATATAAATTCATGACTAAATTCTTTTTCTTCAAAAAAAAAAAGAACCCTTTCATCCAGAGAATATAAAATTTTTGATAAACTCTTCATTAAATAAAAATTTCGAAAATAAAATAAGCAGAAAAAACTAATTCTTAATTATACATCACATTTTATACATGAAAATAATCATACCGTCGACCGGAAGTACACAGTCATATTGGCGTAACAAAAAGTCGAAATTCAAAAAGAAATAACAAAACAAAAGAAAAAGGAAAAACAAGAAGTTGGTTAAATTTGATAAGAGATTTTGTTGAACTTTTGATATTATTTTCTGTTGTCCTATAACAAAAGAACTAATAAGAACAACTAGAAGATTAATATTTAGCATCGAGGCATTCTAAAAGATTATTTCAAAATTTATTGTAAAGAAAGACGAACCCTTAAGAAATTATTATGCTTATAGCATCGATTAATAGTAGTGTCTATTTTAAATATTCTTTTAGTAGGTTTTGAATGTTTCCCACTTAAATTAAGAAAATTTGTGAGCATTACACATTAAAATGATGTGATCATCGATACTAAAAGAAAATGACATTGTATTTGAGTTTAAAAAAGTTATTGTTTTAAATTATAGAGCGATTAAATTTGAAGAGCGATGAAATAATTTGCAATTATCTTTGTAATAATTTTATTGTTGTATGTTTTATCTCTCATGTACTTATATGAAATGATCTCATTTCACTGAATAAAAAATTAAAGGAAAAAAAAAATCTTTAATTTATGAAGTAATTAAAAATTATTTTTCAAAATTTTAAGTTGCTAAATAATATTGTAATACTTAAATTTTATTTTTGTTCAGAGAGAGGCAGATAAAGTTTTTGTTTATGTACAGTGTGATTCTGAAAGTTATACAACAACATATACCATTGGTTAGAGGGTCCAAAATCGGTGAAATTTTTGCCCTGGACTAGGTGTAAAATCTCAAAAGTTTCCTAGTTACAAGAATTTTAAAAACTTAATGAAATTTCTACTTTGGCCTTCGTTCCGAAAAAGAAAGGTGACTTCAAAAAAAGGGTTTTTAAAAGGCCTATAAGTGAAAGGCTTAAAATCAACATGGTATTTAATTTTACATTTTATGTACTTTCAAAATAACAAGCATTCGAATTTAGTAAAAATCAAATTTTACCCTTTTTTTTATTATTTTTTTGGTGTTTTCTAAAACCCGATAACTTCGTACCAAATTTTTTGAAATTTTTAAATTTTTTATTACAGAATTACAGAATTACCCCGGTTTTCGGCGCTTGACACAGAGCTTGATTGCAGAGGTATCAAAAAAACTTGAACAAGTAGAAATTTCTAAAAATTCGTTAAAATCCCTGTAACTCGGAAACCCTCAACATTTAGCATTTGGTTCAGAACAAAAGTTTTACCCACATTTGACCTTCCAGCCAATGGTATATATTTTGTTATATGCCGTTCTGAATCATCCTGTATATAAGTACGAGGTGTTATAAAAAAATTGTTCAATTTTTTTGGTAAATTGATAGATTATCTTCTTAAACCTAATAGCCAAAAAATTTTCCCATAAATTATTTGTAATGAATGTTTTTAATTGCTCTTTTCTTCAAAACTGAAATCTGCAGTTTTAATTGCTTTCATAATAGTAGATTTACTATATTAGTAGATCTGATAAGTACTGGTAATTTGAATGTGTTTGTTTTAGTTAAAATCTAGTTATTTAAATCTGTTTTCTGACACCACTTGTATATGCTTACTTTGCATATATATGGTAAATCCAGCGCTGTTGGCAATACAACTCGAATGGCAATTTTATTTTAAATATTTCAATTATTTTTCAAGATTTCAAAAACTAATAGAGATGTTAATTTAAAATATTGTAAGAGTGTGTTCAATTACATTCTACATATGTATATTCGTAAAGGTTTAATAGAATGGCGGCATTGGTTTCGGTAGCTGCAGGTAATTTTAAATATTTAGAAAAATAATAAAGTTAGATTTATGAAACTTGGCATTCTTCTGTACCAACTGAATAGTTATTACTTGTTGAATATTGTTTAGTCTATTGAAGTTTAATTTGTATGTGACTCTTTATTTCACAAATTTGTAAATGAAACACTTTGTTTCATTTCTTGAAAATAATATTTCTTGAATTGCATACATAATATTTTGCCATGAATTTTGAATTAAATAGATTGCATTTTATTTAATGAATTTACATGAGTTAGTTTCATTTTAATTATAAATGATATTTCATATATAAAAGATGAATGTGATCTTGAAAATCTCTAAATTTATATATATCACTTATTCAATTTAATTAGACAAAATTATTAAATAACAAGTTAGTACGAATTACTTAAGTTTGTTGGCTTACAACAAATTACAATAGTTAATTATTAGTTAAATTGCACTTTTATATTGCCATAAAAATTGTGATAATTTCAAAGATAAGCATGCGTCGAACAGATTTGTTGACAAAACTCTACCCTCCATTATTGTGATTTAGTTTGGCATAGCAAAATTATGTTTATTCATGTACTATAGTTATAATTGACTTTATATTTTAACTTGATTGAGTCTTAAGGCTTTTCGTAATTAAAAACCCTTACTTTTATTATTTAAAATTAGGAAACTAAACAAACAAGCAAGTAGTTGATGGTTGATGAGTATGTATGTATATGGATGTTCTATTTGCATATACTAAGTAATTATTTTTGCTTTTAAAATTAGTTAAGAAAAAAGTTAGTTAAGAAGATTTAGCACATTCGTTTCCTCTTACATTATGAACAGCGGCTCGCTTTAACATTTCTTAATTCAAGAGTAAATCAATGAGGTTATGCACGTATAATAATATGTAAAATAAAATTAAGAAATTCGAGTATGTTATATTCAGTATAAGTTTATATTGCTGTCAACATAAAAAAATTACCAATTAAACTCACGGTTTCTAAATAAGCACAATTCATTTAACAATTTTGTTCCTTTTGAGTTTTGTAAAAATTGTATTTATTCATTCATTTTCATATTTAGCTCTAGACCTCATGATGATAAAATAGAATAAATAATGGAAATGTTTTATTGAAATGAGATTTTTGTTACCACAATCCTACATAAATTTAGAAGAATTTAAAATAATTTTAAAAAATGTATACCATATTGAGTTCGATTGCCAAGTTCGAAAAGCAAGAAATTTTAACAAGAAATTTTGTTCTAGAACATTCAAATAGAGCATTTAACAAAAAATATCTCTTAAGTAACAGTTAACATTTGACAAAAAAACTAATTCGAAATGAGTATGAGAAATCATTAGTTGAGTTAACAGCTAATTAGAGGGTCATTGCCTTTCCGCGTGTACAAACTTTACAAATTTTATATATATCTACATAAATTTTATATTACTTATATCTTAATTAATTGCAAAAAATTTGGATTTTTACATTAAAAGTGTTATTCTATGAACTATAGAGAAATAAAAATTTTAACAAAATCACTTTATAATAAGATTTTAAATTTCTACTAGCAATAGAAGAAATTTTTTCTTGGAACTGAGCTAAATAGTAATACGAAAACCAATATTGTTTTAAACGAATAAGTAACCGCCTTTTAAAACTACATAAATCATTAAATTTTTCAATGAAATTTGAGTATTAAGTATAAGTATTTGTAATTTAAGATTGGTTAATGTTCATGCAACGTAACAGTTAGAAATTTTATATGAAAACATAAAATACACTTATAAGTACTTATATTTATATTTGAAATTTTAGCGGGCATTTTCATAAAACTTATATACTTAAGAAAAATTTTATAAAAGTTTACAAATTACCTGTGGGCGACCGTATGTATCATAGCATGCTAAAGCTGGTAAAAAATGTGTATTCTCATTTGCATTAATTCCATATTTATTTTGACATCCTAATATTACTAAAATACTTAATAGTATTTGCTGTGAATTTATCCACTTCAGTTTTTTCATTTTATTATACAACTATTTATTTTTCTATTATTTCTGTTTTTAAAATATATATATACTTATATGTATATATATATTTGTTCAAATTATATACTTATATAATTTTTTATTTAATTTTTTTTTTTGATTTTTATTAATTTAATTTTTTATATTATCATTCCGATATAATTTTTTTTTATTTAAATTTGTTAAAATTTTATTGTGTTATATATATTGTGAGTATTGCACATAAACAAATTAATTATCTGTAATATAAGAGGAATATTAGTATAAGAGGAATTTGAGTACATAATTTAGTAACTATATGAAATTCAATTCTTATCAAAAATATTGTAATATCAATAATACCAAAATTCTTGCAATTTTTATTTTTATTATAAAAATTTAATTTATTTTAAAAACATATTCTTATAAAGACATAAATATTAAGCATTTATTTAATATTTTGTTATATATATAAGTATTGCGAGTCAATCAATCAGTTGTAGATTTAATTTACCTAAGAATTATTGATAATTCACAATATAAATTTTGTTCTCGTAAATTAAATTATTACAACCTAATAGTAATCGAAGAGTATTATGAAAGCGATTGAAATAATTATAACCTTCTTGTAATTACTTAAGTATTTTTTGTATAACAGTTAATCTATCTCCTCTATGCATAAATTGGACATTAATGTAGGTAATGGTATTTTTTTTTTAATGCAAATTTAAAGCACGTGAAAGGATTTTTTGTAAAAGAAAAGACAGTAAAAAATTTAAGATAAATTCATACAATATAATTCGATACACTAAATCCTCGAGATATGACAGATAGATAGATCTTCAAATATGAGATTTCGAGTTACGAAATGGTATCTATAAATTTGAACTATTTTTATTTGACTTACAACATAGTTCCTGATACGACATTGAAATTTTTTACTTTTTTTTACAGATTTTATTGATTTTTGAATAAAAATCTATACCGAATTTAGTTATATGGCAAGTCTTTTTTTCTTCCAGCGACAATTCGACTTACAACCTAAATTTCTGGAACCAAAAATGTTGCATCATCTAGTACTTATGTGCATTACTTATACTTTATTAGTACTTAATGTACATTTTTTTTAATATATAATCTAAGATTTATCTTAGATAAGCTTGGCTAAGGCCGGTTGATCATTAAGATTAAGTTTCGCTAATATAGGCAAACCAATTCAGTTAACAAAATTCTTCTTTTAAGACTAACCTTATTTCTCTCCAATTCCTTCAAATTTTTTAACTAAATACTTATTCATGTAAAATATTCATTAAATTTTTTTAACATGAATGCATTGAACAAATTTAAAACACTAGACATTGACAACTTCTAAACTGCGCCACTTTTTTGTTATTCAAAAATCTTTTGTTAATTAAAACATAATGTACTCACTTTTATATATCAACATGCATATAATAGACACAAGATCAACATTGAAGTATTTATAACATATTTTGTATAACAACTATATTTTCTAATATTGTATAACAGCTAACAACTACATGCTCTAATTTCACCAAATAAACCCATAGTAATATTAAATATGAATAAAATCATCAAATTGAAAATGATTTGTGTGTGAGAAAATAAGTAATAATAAAAAAACGACTGACAATCGCAAAAAAAAAGGAAAACAAAAACAAAATAAAAATATTATGACAAGTTTAATTAATTGTCACTACCCAATTCAATTTATAAAATTATAAAAGAAGACAAATTTATTAAGCATAAGAAGAACAGAAAAAAAAGATCCTATATCAAATTAACTTGAAGTGCTTAGTTGAAGTCATCGCGCTTTTATTGGCTGGATATGCACATTCCACAATAAGTATTAAATTTTGGAACGAGAAAAAGCAAAAACAAAAAAGAAATTACCCAAAAAAAATTCTTATATTTCTTTTTATTTGATTGACCACATAACGGACAATAAGAGAGGTCTTGTTTTCACCTCAAATTTACCATGTTGTGTTTTCAAAGAGGATACTTATATCATTGTAGAGAATCGGAAATAAGCAATTTGCTATAAGTTAGCAATATATCGATCTGTTTGCTTGGCTGTGCTCTCTTCTTTTTCTTTTCATTTCTCTGAATCTTATACGCTTCGCTGAAACGCTTTTGATGAAACTTTACCGTTTTTAAAATTTGCTTGAAAATTTGTAATGTGTATTTTTTCTTTTGCAATACAACAAGTTAGTCGCCTTTAAATGCCTGCGCCAGTCACCTTAAAATACAAGTGCCTGTAACTGGATCTTAACTACAGACCAAATTTAAATTTTGAGTATTTGATAACCAAATGTTTTGAATTTAAATTTGAGAACATTGCAATATTTGAGAACGAAATTTACTTTTTTGGTGATATGTTAACTTGAAATTTGAAGTAAGTGTATAAGAGGCCATTATGCCATTTATACAATATATTCATACGATCGATTGTATGCTGACCCTACCAAATATTATTTTATCAAATTCAATTTTTATTAATTGAATTTTTTATGTTCGAAATGGAGTAATCTAGTTATACTAGTAGCGTTGTAATTTGAAATGAAATATTATACTAATTCTATATTTATATTTTACTTTTTATGATTATTTATTCAAGATTGCATTTTATATTATTGTGAATTCAAAACAAATTAAATCTGAATATGGGACAAATTTTTTTAAAAGATCAAATAATACTATTGATTTTGATATTTTACTTCTCTTTAAATTTGTAGACTTAATTCTAATTAAGTTTATAAATTGTGTTAATCAGTTATCAGTTAGCAGAGTAGAATTTTCTCTATTTATTCATTGGATGTTGAAACAACCAATATCTGTGTCAATTCCAAAGTAATAAGAAAACTTATGAAAAAAATTTAAATTTCTTATTGAGCTTTTTGTATTTTAACTACTTGCAGTACTTTTTAAAATTTTTTCAAAACAAAATTGGAAAAAATGTTTGAGACTATGACAATTCCTACAATTGAATTTTCGACACCTCATATTTTCGAAACTTGTCTTGATATGCTTCTTTCTCATATGTATATCTTTTCTCATCATTTAGATGATAGATTTTGGTGTATTGACGAAAGTAATTTAAGTAATCTGGTAACAATTAATTGGTTTTAAAGTAGCACTTTTCCAATGCCATGCAGTTTCATAAAGAAACAAATTTCTAATTTCCTGCATTTGTAAAATTTCAACAAATTTTGATGGCGTATAAAACTTTGATTCCCTTACTATAAAGATTGTAGAAATTTTGTAGACAAATGTACAGACGGACGAACAGAGAAAAACTAAATAGCACATTTTTAATTTTATTGGAAAATTACTCAAAATTTACTTTTTTGGTGTGAAAATTTTTTAAATTAAATTTTTTCTCTTAATAATATCACTGATGACCGTATTTATTTAAAAATACTTTTTAGTATAATTATTTGTTTTTAAGTGTCTGATAGACAATTATCACAGAGTGTCACACAGATTAAAGGTGTTGATTTTTTTTTAATTATTCGATTTAATTTAACAAAATATATTTTTATACAAAAATATTATAAAATTAAATATTAAAATTATACCCTTCCCGATTTCGAAATCTTGTTTGCACTTATTTAAGACTAATTTCCTATACTTAAAAAAGAACATAGACGCTTTGTAAATTTTTAAAAAATATAAGTACCTACAATATAATTAAAGGGCAAAAAAATTGTTATCACTTTACAAGTAAAGCAAATTTATTGGCAGAGTAATGTAAGCTCAATTTTTTTCTGGCTTTTTAAGTTTGAATTTAAAATTTCGGTGACGGATACACTCTATAATTGTATATTTTCTTTGACCCTTATTAGTACAGATATGCATTATATGCATGTGTAACATTTCCTATATTTTAATTTGCACCATTTGTGTGCATACGGCATAAAAAAAAACTCCCACATGGCTTAAATATTTTTGTGCCTTTTTCATATTACATTGTGTATATTAATTTCTGCTGAAAACGTATAAAATTAAACAGAACTTTAATATTTTGCTAAACTTTATGTTTAAAGCGGTCTTTTTTTTTCTCTGTTTTATGTGAAATCATGGAAATTATAAAAAAAGAAATAAAAACGCTGATATTAAGATTTTTTTTTTCCTCAATTTTTCTTTCATTTGGAAAAATAATTTCCGCCGTAAATATTTTTAATGCCCATATGTTTTGTTAAACTAATGAAAGGCATAGTATAGTGCAATTTATTTACATATATGTATACGTATATGTGTGTATATAACTAAAAATATTTGTTTAATGATGAATTTAAAAATATTTTTAGAATTCTTAGTAAAAAAAACTATTGAAGATTTTGTCATTTCCTTTAATATATTTAGATAGGAATATTTTTCTGTTTATACTTTGAAAAATAATTGATTTTTAAATTTGAGAGAGACTTTGGGGGTAATTTGGTGTTTATTCGATTTACAAAATATACAAAGGGATACTTATGTTTTGGAAAAATATTTAACAGTATTTATGTTATGGCAATTTTGTAATAAAAATTAATTAATTTAAATAATGCTTCTTTTGTTTAAAATTTCCCTAAATATCTGTAAATTCATTTAAGCAATTCATATAATTAAGTTTTCTGTTTTGTAATAAAAGCTATTAAATCCGAATTTGTTGAATGTTTGAATTCTAAAGCACTGCTGAATACTGATGAAATAGATTGAAATTTATCCTTCTTATTTTAATCAGGGAATTAATTTTCCAATTGAATGGAGGAGGCCTATATCTAGCAGTGAATGCAAGCGGCTCAACAATGATGATGATGATTTAATTTTTATTTACAACTTTTTATTTTTACACATTTATGGCAACACTTATTTGTACAATATTTTGTACCATAATTAAATGCACTACATTATTTATTATGTATGATAAAAATTCAGACCGTATCCGTATACATGTGTATGTATGTATGTACACATGTATTTACTAATTAAATTATTATATTCATTATTTTGCCATTTTTTATGTTAATTGATAATTTATTAAAAGAAATTTTTTTTTTTATTTTAAAAAGATAAGAAAAATTTTAAATGTTCTTTACTTGTATGTACACATTAAGTATCAAAATGTATGTAAATTTTTAGATTTATATTTTACTGTTATAATCATTAACATATTTTATATATTTTACAGTTAGATGTTGTATACAACATATACTTCAACACATCTATTTTTTTTTTTCTTTTCACTAAAATTGGACTAAAAATTTCCGAAAAGACAAAATTTATTGATCAAAAATTTTTTTAAATTAAAAACGAAAGGGTGTGGGGGGACAAGAAAAATTCACTCTCAAAAAAATTCTAAATTATTTTGATTTTATTTTAAATTTTTTGTTTTTGATTTCGCGTTTTTTATTTTTGTTTTCTTCTTAACTCATTTTCGGAGCAATGCACTTCCTTAGAGTTATCGCTTATATTCTTTGGTACATAAGTATGTACATACATAATATGTATATTATGTTGGTATATGATATTCCTTATACACATTCACAGGCCGTATAGTGTATTCCTATATCAACATACTTACATACATGTGGATGTATGTATGCTTATATAGAAAATATTTTTTTTTGTACTAAATAAACATTCACTTTATGTTTTTGTTTGTTTATAGAAAATTCCAAAAATATCTACACACTTTTCTTCAATTTTTCAAATTATATTTTTTATTTTATTAAATACTACATACAATTTTGAAAACATGTAATTTGAGTTAGATTAAAAATATTATACAATTTGAACTTTAATTTATAATTTTATCAGTGTTATACTATTTGTTTTTTTTCTTAAAAAAATAAATAAACACAATCTATACTTTTATATTTTTTGTTTTATTTATGTGTGTACAATTCAAATACATTTAAAGAAATCCACAACTACATGTACACATGCTGTACAATGGAATTATATTTCGTATATATAAGTATAGAATTATAGGTAGTTACTGAAATTTCAGTTCATATTTCTTTTAAAAATTTTTTAATTATAAATTAAAATTATTAAATTTTTTAATTAGTTTATAATTAAAAATTATTTTAATACTTTTTCTTTTCTTATAAAAACTCTATAATATTCCAAAATAGCTATCAAATGATAATCCAAATGAAAAAAAAAAATGTAAAGGCGTTCACAGTGTATGTCTCAACATAAAGTAGTTTTTTTTTCTTTTTCTTATTTTTTTTTTTGTTTTTATGAACTGCAAGATCCGCGCGATCTTACCGCACTACAAGATTTAAACTACAATTCGTTTTGAACGCTCCGAGAAGACTAAAATCTTTTGAATTCGTTTTATAAAACCAGACCAGACCCATACGACATAATTATGTATTGCATATGTACGTACTATGGAGAAAAGAAAAATAATAAAACCTTTTTTTTTTGTTTTTATTGTTTTTTCTTGAAATGTTTGCTTATTTTTTTGATTATACTCTTTTAGTACTAAAAACTCAATAATTTGACTCAAAGAGTTTTGTTTTAAATAATTATCAAAAAAAGAAATGAATGGAATGCATACATGTACACGATCCTCATGCATGTATGAGAGTATTTGTGGTATTTTATGTTTATTTTACAATACTCTTGATTGAATTTATATTTTTACTTCGGCCTCAACAATAATGTAGACTTTTGTGTTTTTGTTTGTTTTTTTTTTATTGTTGATTGATAATGCTGTGATTTGTAAATTTATTTATTGATTTGGAAACAAATACTATATTTTATATTTATATAATCAATGTTATGATAATAAAGAGAGTTTTACATACACGCGCAAGTAGGAAAATTTCATAAAAAGCGAACAGAGCACATGTGTAACAGGATCAGCTTGTATTTTCATAATTATTGACTTATTTGATACAAAATTGAAATTGATAAAATGGTAGAGTTGACAAAGTCCGTTCAGCAGAAAATGTTATAATTGATAATTTTAACCCTGTGAAATTTAATTTATTGTTGTATGCTTGGGAATTGTGCTTAGACGCGGCCCAAAAAAATTTCAATAAAATAATTTTTGCAAAAAATTGTTGCTAATTAATTACTATAACTATAAAAGTCGTGTCAATTAAAAAAGAACAAGTAAAAACGTTTCACTCACTATAAGCCGACTGAATAATACCCTGCACTTGACAATCTGAGTTTAAAAATTTGTTTTTGAAATATTTGAAAATAGCTTTGATTGCTAAAGGGCAATTACTTGAACGTGTCAAACCATTTGATAGAAACTTCACGAACATTATGTCTGACCTATAAGTGGGCACACGAAGGCCGAGTTTCATGAATTTAGCATTAATACTTTTCCAAATATTTAAAATTAAGTTTTGGAGTTGTAGGGATAAAGAATAAAATTGTCCTTACGAGTAACAGTGTAAACAGCTTGAACATAAAATTCTTTCCTTTTCTTAATTTCGGACAATTATTGCTAAATCCGAACTAATCGAAATTATTTTTTAATTTTTTCCCAATAATTAAAGTTTTTAAGTATTAAATTAAAAATTCATTTTTTAAAATTTACATAATATCTTTGTTAAAAGTTGTTTTAAAATAAGAAAGTTCTGGTAATGATAAAAAAAATTTTAAACTTCAAGAAATTTAATTTCGAGAAAAAGACTTGTACCCATACCCATAAGTCTTAATTTACCCTATGCTGATTCTTTCTGTTTCTTCTACAATATTGTTTTTAGAACTCTTTATCTTTTCCAAATTAAAATAGTTTATTTACTTTAGTCTTCATTAGTATATATCTTTGTTCATTGGTACATACTTATTATATGTATGTATGACATAATATATACACATTTACACATTTCACAGTTCAAAATCACTAACTCCGATCGAAACATAAATATAACGGAAAAAATATGCAATATCGTTCACAGACACATGACATATGTGAGATGTTAATATATAATTTATTTCTCGGTCTTTATTTGTAGTTGTAAGTATCTAAAACTTCATATTTCCCTTCATTCTAAACCGAAGTTAAAACACCCTCACCGTATGCTTGTATTATGTATGTTATTTATACCTACATACATTATGTATAGATGATCCATTCCAATTTCCAATACATTTTGAAAATTGAGAACACATTCGATTTGATGAGAGTGTTTGTGTACAATGCAATAAAATTTTCTCTTTAGTAGAAATTCCTCAAAAAAAAAATTTTAAAACAATTTTTTTGTTTGCTCCTGTCGCTCTGCTGTAATGACGGAGAAATATTTTTTTGTTTATATAGAGCGAAAGTTGCGATCATTCCGGTGAAGCGAAAAATTGTTTTCTTCATGATCTGTTTTTTATCTTTAATGGAAATATTTTCTTAGATTACGCACATGTACGCGTTTATCGTACTTATAATGTACATAAAAATGTATACATATATAAGAATTTATAAGCATAATTTTCTGATTTAATCTATTTTTATTGCCAAAAAAAAAAAAACAAATATTTGAATTTTAATTGAGAGATCTATTTTGTTTTGTGACTAAAAGCATTCACTAATTTCTTCCAATTTTAGGCTATAAGAATCTAATAATGTACGGATGTAGATATGTATGTGCACAAATTGAAAATAAAAATAATTTTTTTTTTAGTACATATTATAAAGAGTTGATTGACAAGGGAAGAGATAATCTTATTAAAAATTGTTGAATGACGTAATAGAGAAATTTATAGTGCTATTATTAAACGTACTTGAATATTAGGAAAATGCTGGAGAATTAAAAGCAAATTAAAAGTTCTTATGAAATAATTTGTGCAAGGATTTTTACTTGAAGCAAATTAATCTCTAATTCTAATTTCTAATATGAAAATTACTGCACAACAATATTGTTTAGATCAGTAGAGGAATAATGTATGATTGAATGAAATCACTTCAGTGTTAATTAATTGCAATATTTGGCAGTGGCAACGATTTGTTTCATGAATTTTAGTATTATATAGATTCTCTGATAACATTCGGTGATTTTTAAATTACAGCTATATTGGAATGATACGCATAGTTCAGCAATTACAAGTCGTAACTCGTAAATATATGAATTGTGTATTATTGGAGTGTCACTGCAATTTTGATGTATAGAGATCCTAATAACTAAATATAGTTTAAATATAAAAAATATTTTTAAAGAAAATTTTGGTAAAAAAAAATCGCTGTAAGAAATCGCTGTAGATAAATTTCCCATTAACAATTATAAATTTTCTAAAATATTTTTTTTAAATTACTACAGCACTTATAGAAGTAAAATGTTTAAATTGGTCATGATTCGAAGGATTTTCTGTTTTTCACATAAATTTATTCAAAGTATATGATCTGAAAGATTCAATTAAATTTTTAGAAACTCTTCTAATTAAATGATTTAAAACCGATAATTTTTTATACATTTCGAATATTTTTTATTTTAAAAATGTGACAGCAATAAAATTTTCGTTTCTATTACAAAAAATTTCAATTTTTATAAAAAAAAAGAAACGCGTATTAACAAAACGTTTTTAACTTAGGTACTTTTTTTTTCTAATTCTATTTTACTTGAATTCTTAAGAATGATAATTTCTTTTTTATTACAAAATTCTAAATTTATATTTGAATTTGCTATTTACATGAAAAATATCAAGTACTATGTGAAGAACATTATGTATCAAAAGTAAAAGTATGTGTTCTTTAAGGTCATCAGGGTTAAAATTATAGATTGATAAAATAATCAAATATTGATAGCAGTTCGTTCTACTTTTAAAAATTTTTTTAAAGAACACATAACACAAAATATTACAAAATTAAAGCAATTTTTTTGGTTCTTAATCTTCCTTTTTCTGAATTGTTATTTTGGTTCTTTTTATTTTTTAGAATTCAGTTTGCTCCGTAAGAAATTGAATCATGAAAATAATAGCTTCCATATATTGTTCCTTCGATTTAAAGTTACTCATTTCTTGTACTATGTTGGTCCATATGTTGAAGAAGTAATTGTGATAGAATAAAATTAATTTGAATTAAATTAATAGAAAAGTAAAAGTTACTCAGAATAAATATGTTTTAAACATGAAAAAACTTTCAAGTCACTTTGAAAATATCGAAAGCACTGAACCTAAACTCAAAAATCTAACTGGGATGCGCGATCGTATTTCTATTGCTTTCATTGTCTTTAACTTACTCTATTGTTTTCAATTAAATATATTTTCCATTACACATTCATGAATTTGCGTTTGCAGTTATAAGAAAAATTTGCAAAGGCAACATGTTTTTATAGCTTCCTGCATCCCAAAATGTATCCCGTTTTTGTTGGTGGAACTGTAAAAGATCTTCTGCCAAAACGACACAGCTTAAAATTTATTTCTGTTTTCCAGCCATAATAACCTCAATTAGTAAAGAATATAAATTTGACATTATAGAGTTTTTGTTGGCAGCGCTGCTTTAGTAGTTCTATTGCAGTTATTAACTATAGTAAGATCTCTCGCAGTCTACAAACGTGAATTCAATAGTATTTCATAGTACTTCCTTTGTTATTCTTTATGATTATCGTTACCTATGCTTTTAGAACCGACTTAATATTTTAAAATCCGCTTAATATTAATAACAAAATTTCTAAAGATCTTTTATATACATATGCATGATAGAAAAGTTTTGAGTTGTCACACAGAAATTTTGCTTCATATTTATGTTGTTTCAAGCCCATATATGAATTTTTTAATTTGAAGTTCAAATATAATGCATTTTTATGCATATTAACACTAAATTTGAGAAACCTTTAAAATTAGATTTCTGTAATTCGTAGTCTATAAACTTACTTTTAAAAATTGGAAATTTTCATTAGTGTTGCTACAAAAGTTATTTTAGACTTTATTTATTTTGTTAATTTCATTTCGTCAAATGTGTACAAAAAAACTTCAAAATTTATTTCAGACACAAACCATTATAATATGATACATGAAACTTTGATAATGTGATACATGAAAGCAAAAGTAGTACAAAATTGGTGATGTTGGTGGCAGAAGTGTAGTGGAACTTTTTTGTAATTGAAACAAAATATTTAGAACAATTTAATTTTTTCTTGTTTACTTTTTGTAAATATTTTTATTTAACATTTGGTTTACGTCTTTGATAAATTTTGAGCTACAGATTTAACAAAAAAATTATGCTAAAAATTTGAAAGTGATTTTATGTATAAGAAATATTTTTTTGTAAAGTACTGTTATGGAGGAAAAAGTACTAAATAGGTGATTACGCCTATATTCATGCTAAATAGTCTTATTAAATTTATTTTTAAAATTTATTATTATAAATATATTTTTAATAATTATAATTTTGGGTATAAACTATAATAAAATTTAAGTACTAGTACCAAGTATCACAATATTGGAGATATTTAGAAATTCTTGTTCGCATTCTAAATTCAAATATAGTATGTATTTATCCCTTGCAACTTTATGAAGGGTTATTAACTTTTCTTTGAGTACTGAGTTTGAAGCTACTTTAAAGAGTCGTCTGCGGTATTTGTTACAATTTTTAGACAAAATTTAATCGAGTTGTAGTAGGAGCATTTAAAATATTTAATTCCAGAAATAGCTGCTCGTTTTTTTGTAGGTTTAAATGAAAAATTAATTCAAGTAAATTAATAATTTAATTAATTATTATTATATCTTAAAAAGTACAATTATTATTTTGCGCTTTAATAGCTATAATACTAAAAAACTCATTTTTAAAATTATTTTATATAATTATAAATTTAAAAAATATTATTTAATAATTTTAATTTATTTAATAACGGGATCCTTATCACTGCATTCTAAAATGCATTCATCACTACCAGTTTTACTAATTGTAATAACTGGTATCGATGTTTGAGAATCTTGTCGTTTTGGTAATGTTGAAGACTCAGAATCAGTTTTGGATAATGGTTTTTCTTTTTTTGTAATTGTACCTTTGTCTTTACTTGTGGAACTTGTTGGAGCTACTGAAGTGCTCTCCAAACTTTGTTTGGATGAAGAAATTGATTTCTGTTGTGTAGTAGTTGTAGGTTTTGATGCAGAAGTAGTGGAAGGAGATTTAATAGATTTTTCTGGTATTATATTAACACCTTTAGCACTTGGAGCTTGAGGAGCTGATGGAGATTCTGGTGTATTACACTGACTTTCATCGCTACCGTCACTTTTTTTGTTAACTGCTTCTTTAACTAAGGCCAAAAATGAACCAATTCTTTTACGTCCACTTTTTGACATTGCAGCTAAACCAGTTGAGTGATGCTTTTCAACGGGTGCTGGAGCAGTTGAACTGGCAGTGGGCTTTTCTTGTTTAGGTTCAGAACTTGTGGGCTGTTGTTGAGTTTTTGTTTCACTGTGATGTTTAGCATGATGAGGCTTTGATGCATTTGATGATTTGTCTTGTTTTGGTTTATCAACAACATCTTTATGATGAGGTTTTTCTTGCTGTTGATTTTGTTCTAAAGTTTGCTTTTCCTGTTCCTCTTTTTGTTGTTGCTCAGCTTCAAGACGTTTTTCTTCGCGAGCTTTGGCCAATAGTGCTTGTAACAAAGGATTTTTAGCTGGAGCCTTTGTAGGTGGTGGAGCTTTCGGTTGATGATGTGTTTCATGTGAAGATTTATCATGTTTCATTTGTGGTAAAGGTGATTTTTCTGGTTGTTTATGCTCTGATTGTTGCTCTTGCTGTTGTTCGAGAGCTTTTTGTGCTCTAGCTTGAGCTAATATAGCTTGAAGTAATGTATTTTGCTGGGGTTTTTTTGCTGCCGGTTTTCCTTGCGATGAAACTGATTTACTGTCAAATTTGAAAACGTTTGGTTCCGTTTTTTTACCTTTTTCGTTTACAACTTCGAAGCTAGAATCCCCACCATTTTCATCATCTTCACCAAGCTTATGTTGCCGCTTTAATAAACTTTTTCTTCGTTCTGATACAATTCTTGAATTATCATCAGGGTCATTTTCATCGATTGGAGGTTCGGTTTTTCCCATTGGTGCATCTACTACATTACGATTAACTTTAAAACGATTTTTTGGATGATCTTCTTTTGATGCTTCTTTTTTCGCTAGAGCAACAATATCAATAATAGAAGGTTTTCGTGCTTTTCGACCTCCAATTCCAGGAAATCTGGATTTCGAACGCTTCTTATGTTCTTCATCATGTGGCAAATTTTCATGATGTTCATTATCTGTTTCATCATCTTCATTATAATGTGGTAAACTTTCATCTTCAGATGTAATTGAACTTTTTCTAAGAGCTTTTTTCATAATTCTGGACAGTAAATCTACAAAAAACAAGTCATAATAATGAACCCATCCTAGTTTTAAAAAAACTAAAAAAATTTATTTTTTAGGACATATTATAAATTTACCTTTTCTAGCTTGTATTTTAGCATCTTCAGGATCTTGTGATTGATTCTGTTGGGTAGGTGTTGGGGTTACTGGTGAAGCTGCTGTATCTAATACTTTACGCCAGCGTGCGGTTATTGAAGCAACAGTATTTTCTGCTGGTTTCTCATCTTCAACTTTAAATATTTTCTTTCTTTCTTCCATTCTCTCTTTTTGTAATTGCGTTCTTAAATCTTGATTTGCTTCTCTTAAAGCACCAGTTAATGACACCAAATAGTAAATTATTAAAATTAAGAGTAGGAGAAGTGGTATAACAGTACTTGAAGAAGTCATATATTCCAGTGGTTTATGAAATGAACTGTAAATTATAAAAAATTATGTTTTTTTTGCTTGAAAGAAAACTTTTTCATTCAGTAGATCTGGAATTTTCTTTAAGCAAGTACTATGCACTTTACTTAAATACATAAAAAGGATAATCTTAAAATTTTATGTTTTAATTTTTTCTTTTCTTTTGTATTTTATTTTATCACTTACTCTGGTAATGCATTTCGTGTTGTATTTGTAAAAAATTCTGAAATTCTGTTATAATCTGAAAATGGTCCACAATGCCATGATGGTCTTAACCATACAATCGCATATCCAACGGGTAATACACAAAGGAATAACATTGTTAACAATAGGGTTAGATAAAAATTATTAGATTTTGATGCTCTGTAAGTGAAGAAGAAAATAGAAGAATTAGTTAAAAATTATTTTAAGTGTATATAGCGAAATCAATGTCGCGTTAGTGTTTTACTCATAAATTGAATTCACGCAAAATTATACTTAGAATATGCTATCGCTTATGATCACCATAATTAATTCTATGGAAAATTCAATCATACTATTTTAATAAAATCATAACAAGGATTGTCTCAATGAAGCAATTGATGAAAATATTAAATTTTTATGTCAATTTAAATTGATAATTCACTTTACCGATCGTAAGGAACAATACAAAATGGCAATCCATTTGAATTATTTTTAAATCTTGCATTAAAATTCGCCGTGCAAACGAATAGATTTTAAGAATTTTTCAAAAATTCAGTTTTTCCTTAACTATAATTTAGAATTTTTTCCTCAATTTTTAAAATAACTAGTACGTTTTTTCCCAAGGCGCTGTCTTGTATCCAATTTACAGCATCCTGTCTTTGGATTCTTTTCAAAATTTTTAGTCGATCTCTGCCCTTTTGGATAAGATCTTGAATTGCTTCGTATTAAATTTATAAATCGTAATTATTAACCTTCAATTAAACGTAAAATAAAAAACATATTTTATTTACTTACTTAAATACGACTTCATGCGGTACGTTGCAAGTTAATACAATCCATGATCTTAAATACATTAATATGATTAATTTAACTAAATTTATGATAACAAGTCCTGGCGAAAAAAATATTCCCATCCATACTTGTCCTTGATTATATACTAAATTTAGAATACTTTCAGCAATCTTAAAATCACCATACTTTTTATAAAACGAAAAAACAAGCAAGAAGACCACAATAAATTAAATACGCTCGTGTATATTTTTACATTATTAAAATTATATAACATTGTTAAAAGGATAACATATAAAAATATGAACGTTATTTTTCAGTTCTACACTACTACATATACAAATCTTTAAAGAAATGTTGAAGGATCAAAATAATATGTAAGTAAATAACAAAGCAAATCATAAAAGCCTTTAAGGATTTTTTCTTATAAGACAAAAGAAAAAAAAATGCAAAAATAAAAATTATGAGCAACGAATATTTTCAATCAAAGACAAAACCAGTAAATTTAAGGAAAAAAATTATGCCATGTAGGCCTTATTACAAAAAAAAATAAAAAGAAAATAAGGAAGAATAAAGAGGAAAATAAAAATGAGCTGAGGGACTTAAAAAAAAATCTTATTACAAATTGTCATACCTGAGGGAATGTCTTTTCCATATCCCAACACCAATGATCATTCATATACCGAACAAATAATGCTCTTAAAAAGTCAATACATAATGGAGCAGCAATTGACATAAGCTGTAATAGAATGCATAATATATAAAATTTTATATAAAAAGGATATGAAAAATAATTCAGATAAAAAGAAACATGTAAATATAACAGAGTATTCCGAAAATGTGAAAAGAATAAGAAGAACGGTATTTGGATAATACAATGAGAGAACGGTCTATACTTTAAAATTACCGAGATTCTAAAATTTAAAAATAAAATTTAAATAATTTAGAATCAATTAATTTTTTTAAGCTTTAAGTATCTTTATTCACCAAAATCTGGTAATATCATTTTTCGGCACTTATCTCTTAACAGAAATAAGTGATAATTTTCGTAGTTTTCATTGTGTCACAACCAGATAGACTTATCTCCCAAATTTCCAAATGTTTCGAAATGACAAAATAAAATGAAAATATTGCTAAAAATTATTTGAGGAGTATAAGACTGGTGCATGATATCATAGGTAACCATGGACTATAGTTCCTCACGTCATTGAGTTCACTAAACAGGTGACGAATCTATCGTAGTTTCAACAATTTTTATGATTTAATTATTTTAGTTTGTCATAAAAATGTAATAAGCTATTACAGTGCACTTTGCAATCGACAAATTTTAATATGGAATACTTTGTATAGTATAAAATCTATTTAAATGTTATAAAAATGTGCGTGATCCGATATATCGAATTGAGATTTATAAGAATCGAAGAATTTTATTTGATAGACATTACATATGTAGGGGATATAGGTTAATATTATTAGAAGCTTAACTGGCAGACGTCTCATATACATAGCAGTTGTTTTTGGATTGTGTAAGATTTATGCTTTGATTTTTCAAAGCTAAAGAGTCAAAAGTTTTGTATGATATTTTTGATTCTTATCAAATATGATAAACTAATGCTTTCATTTTTAGTGTTTTGTTGATTGTGATTGAAAAGAAAATTTTCTGTTTTACAGAATTCTTTTTTAAGGAGATTAACATGAAAGTTGTAAATTTTTATAACTAAATAAAGTAATTCCAAATTATGGATCTAGAGTTTCAATCAATATTCACTATTAATATTATAATCGTAAGTAACTACATTATCGATCATAAATTAACTGATCCTTTGGTTTTAATGAAAAACTGTCCTTCGCAAAAAAAAATACTTCAAGTAATAAGAAAAAAGTCGGTTTTCACACAGTGAGTATGTAACGCAGGTTAAGTATCAGAAAGTGAGCATGTATCGCACGTAATATTTCAAGTTGAATATATTATAGCTTTCGAACTAAGAGAATTCCATGGACTTAATCTGGACAGTATATACTGGTAAAATACTATATAGAACTTAAATTTAAAAAAATTTTCAAAAAATTCATAATTCTGGCTTAGTGACTCAAGTTTGTTTTGTACTATTGTCCGTAACTTTGCAATTAACTAGGGTCTATGAACAAATATAGAAATTTCGAATTGTAAATTACAGTCAGAGCAAATTCAATTTATATGATTTTGCTTCCAAATACAGAACTACATGCACAAAAATTAATAATTATGGAAGTTTATGTAAGTTTAAAAATATATGGGAAAATTAGAAAGCATAAGTATGAAACTAAATTTAACATTAATTTTAAATAATTTTCTTAAAGAAATTATTTTTTTTTTCTCGGAAAACTTTGTTTTACCAAAATATATTTTATAAGTTGTTCATTAATTTTTAAATAAAATTATAAAATATTATTTAATAAAATTATTAATAAAATTTTTCTATACGCTATTTAAAGTGGTTTGGAAAAAATTTTAATTCATTTTCAAAGTGGCCTTCAGTATAAAAATAAAATTACATTTGGAAATAATTAGAACTCGAAGGTATTTAAACTTCTAAACAGTAAAGTTTTGTATAACAAAATAAAAACTTGTTAATTTTGTATTTCTCATATACAAATTAAATTTATTATAATCATAAAACTTTATCATTTTACATGTTACTATGCACGTTTTTATTTTTTATTTATTTGATAAGGACCTTAGGGAATTGAAGATTTTTTGAAACAAAATATTTGGAACATAATGGAAAGAAAAAAACTTAATTTTTTCCTAAAGTATTATATTGTTTTCAAAAATATAACAATTTTATTTTACGAGAACAACTAAAAAGTTTCCCTTTGCTAAGTTCCGAAATATAGAATGAAATTCAATCAGTTGGAATTATGAGTATGTAATTAACGTGTTGTCTTAAAATAAAATTACAAAATCATAAATGTGGTAAGACAGTTCAAACTTTTAGATAATAATCTAATTATATAATAAATAATTTTGTTTCTAAAGTGGTCTGGATTATTATTCAGCAGTATTGTATTTTAATTATAGTTTAATAATTTAAAAACAAAATTTCATGAGAATTTGAAATATCTGTATATATGATAAATTGCTAAGACTATGCGTTCATTTTATTTTGCACCAAGAATTCTAAAAAATTCCACGAAAATAGACAGCAATGAACAATGAGAAATATAGTGTTAAGAATTAGTTTGCTTACATAATTCTCTAATATTTAAATAATTCTAAATTTCGATAACAATTAAACTTACAGCATCAAAAACAATAACTTTAACCAATTCTTGACCTAAAGAAGTCTCCCAACACATTGATGTTAAATCTTTTCGAATTACTAATAAAGTTTTTGTAACATTTTTCAATTGATATTGATAAAATTCTAAAGTATCTGGAATTAAATATTTTTTCTTTTTTCGATCAACTCGTATTGAATCATTTCTTGTTTCAATTGGTGGTAATGGATGATATTCATCAATTGGTATACAAATTATTTTAATAGTACAATTTAAATAATCACTAAAATCCATAATTATATGATCATCGTGAATTGTGTAGATTTCATTTTTATTATCATAATCTGGTAATATTGTTGTTATTTTTGTTGTTTTCGCTGATACTGTTGTTGTTGTTGCTGATGTTGTATTATTATCTAATAAATCATTTATGGTACTTGAAGTAGTTTCATCATCTTCATCATTATCATCATAATCATCAAATTCTTTACTATCATTTTTTATTTTATTGGTAAATGTTGCAAAAGTTGTATTATCACTAATTTGTAGATTTGATAATGTTGTATAAAAGAGTGTACTTGAATTAATATTATTATTTTCAACATCAAAAAGTTCATTAAATGTTAATGAATCGTAAATGTCATCTGTTGTAAGAGAATTATTATTAGAATTTGATATAGTTGTTGATGTTGCAGTAGAATTTTCATTTTCTTGATTTGATAATTGGAATAAAGCATCTGTGAAATTTATTCCAAAGGGAAATAATGTTGACCTAAAAGAAAATTAAATGGAATTTATGTTAATTGCATTTATAATAAATATTATATTCATTATAACGGCGGTGTAATGTATTAAATTTTAGAATAATTTCATATTGAGCTCAATATTTAAATGTTACGGCTACACGTTGTTTAAAGCGCAAATAATAACTGTGATGAATAAATCGTTTTTTAAGTCAATACTTACGTCAGTTTGTAAATACTTACGTCAATGTTTCATTTTCGATTGTTTCATACATTGTAGTTAATGGTGATGTTTCACTAGTTGTAGTTATGTCACTGCTATTAAAATCATAACCGAATTCACTTAAAAGTTGACGTTTTCTTCTCTTCTTATATTTAATTTTCGAATCTTTTAAACTAGTATCAAATGGTATTTTTTTATCTTCTTCTTCTAAATTATCAAAATAATCATAATATTGAAAATAATTATCAGAATCATTTGTTTTTTTCGGATCATTTTCATCATAATTTGGTATTACGAATGTTGTAGTTGTAGGCACTGTTGTAGTTGTCATTTCTGTTGTAGTTGTCGGTTCTGTTGTTGTAGTTGGTGTTGTTGTTGGTGTAGTCGTTTCAATAGTTGTAGTCGTTGTTGTTGGTGGTTCAGTAGTAGTAGTTGTTGTTGTTGTTGTGGTAATAAGTGGTGTTGTTACAATATGTGGTAACATTGTTGTTGTTAAATTTAATAATAAAAATGTTGTCGCTATTATTCCGCTTCCATTATTTTTTGGATTTGAGCAAACTTCATAGCAATATGTTGAATTAAATACACCTAATGATACTGTTGTTGTTTGTAAAGCTGAATTAGGTGATTCCGTTTGTAATGTTGTTGATGGGAATATTGTTGATATTATATTACTGGTTAAATTATCAGTAAATGCTGATATTTCTGTTGTAGTTAAATCAAATGTATTTGCTATTGTTGTTGATAAATTTTCAATATTTTTTTGTTTAAATTTTGCTATAATCTTTAATAAATCTTCTTTTCTTTTTGTTGCATTTGCAAAGAGTTCTTTAAAATGTTGTAGATTTGCTTCTTTTTTTGTTATTTTATATATAAATGAAAACATTAGGGAATATAAATTTAATAAATTGAGGATCATAATTCTAAAAATATATTAAAAAAATATTGAGAAAAAATTTTTGTTGTTTATATCATTGTAAACGAATACCTTGCCAATTGTAATCTAAGTTGTTGCCTGGGATGCCAATTTTCAAATAAACCTAAAGCATCAAATATCATTGGAAGAAAGAATGATAACAATGTCATTATGATATTAACTTCATTGCGACGAAACCAAGAATCATAAGGAAGTGCAGTTTCTTGTCTAAAAATATTTATGAGGGAAATTGAAATATAATGAGAATCAATTTGTTTCTTTCTTCTCTGTGCAGTAATAATATTGTTGTTTCAACTTTAAAAATTTAAAATAAAGATACGATTACGTAGTCTAAAATGAAAAAAATTAAAAAATAATGAGAATTCGTAAAATATTTTGTATTGTAGTTCCTAGTATTAAAATATACTACAAATTACTGTTTCGTTATAATTGCAACATTAATAATTTTCATGTAGTATATAAACTGAAATTTTCAAGTTGCAATACTAAATTTTTAATTTCCTTACAATATTTTTTATCACTCAATATTGAAAATCAAAAATATTCTCATTATTCTTTTGATTCACCAGACTTCGTATAAATGTTATGTAAAAATTTAAATACATATACCTATCTACTGCGATATATACAGTCCAACCGGATGCGGCTAGTAAAGCTGTTACCAATATATTAATCAATATCCTTTGCAAAATAATACGCCAACTGTGAAAGCATGAAAAAGTGAATGAAATAAATAAATGAAATTGGTTATAAAGGATATTATTGGAGGGTTTACTGCAACGTTAAAGTAACCAAAACCATATACAGAGAAAGAGAGAGATTCAGATTGAAATTTTTATTTTTCTAATTTTATTTGGTTTTCTTTTATTGAAAATTTCTTACATTGAAAATATACAAGTGTTATATATATAATACTTTTATATATATAATATATTACACAAAAATCAAAAGCTTACTTCCGTTTATCCTTTTTCTTTTCAGCTTCTTCTAAAAGTGCTTCTTTAAATCCGACAACGACGGAAGCAATTCTATTATGGGCAGTTTCCGCATGACCTAAAATTAAATTCTTCCTTTATTTATGTTTTTCGTCTTTTTTATTAGAAAAAATCAATTCACGGTGTTTGAATAAAAAATTTAAAAATAAAAGAAATAATCATAGGAAAAAATATAATAAATTGTAAAGGAAATCATAATGGTATATTTATATAATATTGTTATTATTCTTGAAAATGAAAATGTTGTCTATATATTGACATTTATATTGAATTTTTAGTTTTAAAGAAAACATTTTAATTAAAAACTGTATTAAAGGAAGATTTACCGATCATAAAATCCCATCCAGTAAATAATTTCCATGAGAAAATGCATTCATCATCTTTTGAAGATAATTTTGAGAGACGAGAGTTTTCAGCCATTCTATAAAAAGAAAATTGAAAAAAAAAATAATTGAAGTAAGAGTTTGAATATAATGGAACTTAAATTTATTGAAGAGTTCTTCATTTAGTTTGCTATTTTGAGTTTTGCATTGAGTTGATTGATTCTTTATAAATCTAATTAAGAGGACCTAGTGATTTAATAGTTTAATATTGTTTTTTATAACAAAATAATTTGGTATATTGATTTGGTATATTCTTTTGAAAAGTTATAGCGTAGTATGGAAGTGAGTGCGTAATTACGCATTAAATTGAAGAAATTTGGCAATATTAGTATATTTACCGAACTAATTAAAAACTCGTTATGTAAATTCACTTTTCACTCATTTCAAATTTTAATTTTCAAATTCTTTTTTGCAATAAAATGAAAATTATACGGCAAACAGTCGGACAACTTTTGTGTGTAATGAGCAAATATATGTATACTATGTGAGTATGAGTATGGACTATTCAAGACGACTACTCGAGACGATGTGAGTATGGACTATATTTAAAACGAGAAAAAATAGAGTTGACCGTCTTAACTCTGTGATGTCCCTACGAATTTGTTATCCTATGTGCGAATAAATATGCAATAGCTGACTATGGGACTGACTATGACTTTAAGTTGCCATATTAGCATATTAGTTTATGCAAAATTTCAGTACTGTGTTTTCAATATTTTCTAAGATATGGCCAAACTACTATTGAAGTGGTATGGCAGCTACCAGAAGAAGCTAAGCAATTTCAACGAATTTAAGTAAACACATTGGTCCTACTAATATATTCGCTTGTGTGAAATTTTAATACCAAAGCTCTTATAGTTTCTAAAATATAGTCAAATAAATTTTGAAGTTGTATGGCAGTACGCCGATCATATGCAATTTAAATGGGGTTCTGGCATTTACTATAATTAACCATTTATAAAAATTTTTTGGTGAAATTATCTTAATTAGTTTTTGAGTTACCGTTGTGACGGACGGACGGACAGACAAAGCTTAATCGACTCAGAATTCGACGCTGATCAAAAACATACACTTGAATCTATATCTCAGACCATTATTTCTTAGCGTTACAAACTGCAAGGCAAACTTAGTATACGGGTATAAATATTCAAATATAACAATTAATTGACATTTTTATTGACATTCATAAAAATCTTACAAATTCTTTTAAATTTGTGTTTGTGTACCTGTTTTTTGCAATTATCTCAAAATTTTAGTTTTTGTTTTCTTATTGTTTCAAATTTCGGACATTATTGATTGCTTTGTTTTGGCAAATAACAGATTTGTATGGAATTTTATGTACCTATTTCTATTTAATCTATGATTGAGTTCTTAAAGTTTTTTTCAAAAGAGTTTTTTAAATTTTAAAAGTCGCAATCGAATATTTTTTTTTAGCAAGCAGAGTAATGGGCTCCAATGTGAAGTTGAATTGGCCGTATGCTACCTATGAGCCGGCAGCTATTACACGGGATTGTTCTAAAAAATGTCGCACATCTCTAACTAAAATTATACACCAATAACAAGATTGCTTACTGAATACTCATACGAAGATGCGATACTCATAGGTTATTTTAATTAATTTATCTATATACATGTATGTACACAACAATGCATAGTGAAATATTTTTAATAATGAGATTATATAATATCATGGATACAGTTCTCTAGCAATTTCATTTAATTCAAGTAATCTATTTCAGGACAAGGAGGGTTCTTTTTATGTTTCTCACTTTTATTCTGTAAATTTTCGTTGAAGGTGGGGTTTCCAATAACTTAATTCGATTTTGCCGATATGATATTCATTCTATTTTTTTTTCAAAATTCTATTACTCGCTGCAACAAATTTTGAAAAAATATCAATCAATATAATTTGTACACTGATATTGTCAAAATAATTTTTAAAAAATTCGATACAAATTTGTAAGAAATTTCATCTTTACAAGAAAACAAAACAAAATTTCAATTCAAAGCACATTTTTCGCTTATTATTTCCTTTATGTAAACTGCAAAAAAAAAAGGAAATCCATATGAACGTGATAAATTCAATAACGAGTTAATTTTTTTATCCTAATCCTTTCTGGCTTCTTCTATATTGTAACAAATTTGTATATGGAAATAAGAAATATTCAAAAATTATTCAACAATTTCCACTGAATCTTGTATCTTTTTTTCTCTCTCATAAAATTATTGATTTATTTTCGAATTTTGTATTTTGCGCTTCCTATACAGAATATTTCATTCATTCTTTCCCCTTATAACGAGTTTTTCCTTAAGTACAAATTGACAATGTATATTAGATTAGATTTTACCTATTTGCAACTTTAGTATAGTGATTTCACGTTTATATAATTTGCATTTACAGTTAGAATTTATAATATGTATACAATGTATGCAAATTTTAATATAATATTGATAAAATATTATAGCATATGTTGATCATATTCACATATGTACAAAGTTTTGTTAACATCGTTACATTAGTATGTATACCGAGTATGTTAGCATATAATGTTCACATTATGTTCACGTTCATATCAAAATTTGCATATAGTACTGGAAGTAATTTCAAATGAATTTTGTATACGTTTCCGGAATATGAGTTAAAAATATAATTTAAAAGCTTCTAAAAATAATTATAGAATTATGGAAGAAATTAGTGACTTTTACTAAAAGTTGTGATATTTATACCACATGTTTGTGCAGAGCTTGTTTATAACTTGCTATTGTTCCATCATTAAAACGCTATTAAATTTCAAGTATTTAGGATATGCGTTTTATAAAAAATATTAAGAAGAAAGTATCCCGTTATCACCAGGCCGTCATTGAGCGTACAGATGGCTTATAAAAGCCACCCGATTTCCTTGAAGAATCTATCTAAATCTTCGATGCTAATCTTGGATAATTCGTTCAGCTCCGCTACAAGTGATCAGAATGACCCCGCCCAGAGCTGAACGCTCTCAGAGTTAGTGCAAAATAGTATTCTTCTTGTCTATTTCCCGGCGTTTTGTGGGAATCGTCATATTGAAGGGCAATCCTAGCATAGCCGAATGTTTCCCCAACGGCCAGTGTTCTGTGTATATTACCGTCAGGCAAACAATGTTCGTGCGCATTGAGATCGCCAGGATCTCATCCAATTTCCTAAGGTCGTGCTTTAGCAAAATTTTTTTTACCGTCCGTATGTGGACAGCATGTGTTTCCCATCTGCGATCGACGTCAGTGATCATTATATGCAGATGGAGTAGATGACCTCAACATAAATGTAAAATTAATAACTTAACACTCAGTTCTCCTACTTTTGTATTATGATTAAATTTTACATTGCGTTTATCGTAACCAAACAAGTATCAAAACTTTATTGTCATTCGTAAATTTTGAATAATTAAAAGAGCAAAAAATTAAAATTTCTATCTCACATTACTTACTTTCTTAATGTTGCTACGAAACTGTATATATAAACGGCAACTGATGTTAAAAAATATGCTAATGGTAAATTATAACCCCATCGACTTGCTCCCGAAAAATTTGAGTAATAACTACAAAAAAAAAATTATATTAAATATTTTGAATTCCACTCCATAATTTTTGGTGAAAGAAAAACGTGATGATGATTAAAAATTGATAATGCAAATTGTTGATAAAATGAGTATTTTTTTTTGTTATGTCATTATAATATTTCACATTATTAAAGTGTGTTTTATACAATAAGTAGATGGCATTGCTCCAACAAAAAAGGAAGAAGAAAATTCAATCATTTGTGATTACGATAAAAAGATAAAAATGAATATTGCATTCGCAATGGTTATTAAAACAAAGTGTCTTATTGAATTGAAGTTTTGTAACTTTATGAAAAAAGGCACAAAATTTAAGGAAAATTTTGAACAAAAACAAACACAAAAAACAAAAAGGAAACCGTATAATTCAAAAAAAAAATAACAGAAACAAAAAAAAAAGGATATAAACGAGAAAGTTTTGAAATTGAAAAAGTTTTTCGTTCTCATTTTATTTATCGATTTTAATTTATGAATGTGATAAAAAAAAACAGAAGAATTAAGGAAAGCAAAATACACAAACATTTATTCTTATATATTAAAATAGAATACAAAAGAATCATGTGAAAAAGTTTACGCATTCAAACAAAAAAATTTGAAATTCAAAAAAAAAAGAAACCATTCTTTAAATTATCTTTTCCGTTATTTTTTTTTATCACACCCCAGAGTAATCAAAAATATCGAAAATCGAATATTCTGGAAGAAATTTAAGACTTTGTTTCCGACTACACATTTAAATTTAACTAAATTTTGAAAAATATTAAACCAAATAAGCCAAAATGACTTTGCCTTGGTTAAAGATTGAATCGGATTACAAAATTTATTAAATGGTTTCCATGTCTCGTGAATTTATATTTAAAAATGGCTAATGAATGCTAATTTAAATTCATGACATTTTGCCATATTAGTTGTGCCTCTTTCATCAAATGCAAAAAGTAAAATAAATTTTTTAAAATCTACCCATAAAATATAGGTGAATATTTTAGATATCCTTCGAATTCCCAAATTGTTACAATATTTCCAGCAATTTTTGCTTCACCAGGTGTCATTTGTTTTCTATTATCTTCAAGTGAATTATCAGTTGCAAGACTCTAAAATGAACAAAATAATTATTAATATAAATTTAATTAAAAATGTTTTGAAAATAAATTTAATATTTTTATAAAAGACAATTTTGAATTCAAAATTTGAAAACAAAGAGAAGATTTTCTTACCTCTGGAATAATTACAAATGCTAGTAATGGTATAGCTATCATTATATTAACCCATAAAAGCCAACGTAAAAATGTAAAATAAGATGCAACTCCAGATCCAAAATGTGATTCAATTTCTTTTATTCTTAATTCCCATGGTATTAAAATTGTAAAAAAGCTAGCCATTTCTCTTTTCCAATGTTTCCATCGCTACAAAACATATTGCAACACATTAATAATATGCAAAAAAAAAAATTCAGTAAATTGTTCAATTTGTTTAAATTTTACACTGAAAAAAATATTCTTCAAATTATTATTAATAGCACAATTTCTACGTAATTATTTTAGTTTACTGAGCTTAATTTGTAAAAATTTTTTATTTACTGTTCATTATCTGAAAGTCTAGAAATTTATTTGATCCTATTGTCTATTTCTCATTCCTTTGACTCTGTATAGATGCGTTTAAGAGATTTTATTGGAAAATTAACGTTTAATATTGGATTTTATTAAAAATAATATTTTTCTAATATTGAAATTAGCTTTTACATTTTAAATTTTGCAACTAAACTCTAGAGACTAAATCTAGAGTTTAATCATTTAATATTTTATCATTAACTAAAAATGAAGCATGAATAATTGTTGTAACTATACAAATCAAGTTTATCAAACATCAACATAAATTATGATTTCGTACATAATTAGGAAGAAAGTACATTAAAAAATTTTTATGTTGAGATAACATCAATTTTTTTTTCAGTGTTTATTGCGTTTGATACGATATTCGGACATAAAAGCCATCACTGTTTATTTACCAAATTCCAAAAATTATTTTGAGGGTTAAATAAAAAAAAAGAAAAACAAAAATAGAATAACAACAAACACTCACCGCTGCCATTACAATTTTAAATCGCGCCCATAAATCTTTAGTACTTCTTGACTTATTAAATCGTTCTTGTAATGCTCCTTCGTGTCTAGCAATATACGTTTTAGCCTGCAAATTACATTTAAATGAATTTTGATTTTCTTAAATGAAACATTTATTGAGAAATGGTGTCATGTTTACGATTGGTAAAAAAAATTAAAAAAATTAAATTGCTTTTAGGATAAGCAGGTTTCGTGTAAAATTATAAAAAACAAATTTTATAGTAAAATTACTGAGTATACACATACATACTTACATAATAAGAAAATTATTTTAAAATTTCATTTTATAAAAATTTTAAATTTAATTTAGTTATTATCGATAATTGACGGTTGTTTTTGATTGCAATCCTGATAATGTTCGCAAATTATATATTTTGTAGATATAGAAACTCACCTGTCTTACTAATTTTAATTTTCTTCTCATACTCCATGGCTGATATTTTACTGATTGTATAACTTCTTTATGTAAACGAATATTTTCAAAAATTTGTTCTTGTGTTGAGTCTTGATTTGTTCCATCATCTAATGAAATTGCAGTGCTGTTAAGAGATTAATTTCAATTTCAAATAATATCAATTATTGATTTTAATTAAATTTACTCTCCAGAGCTGGTTGTATATACACTTGAACGTCTTCTATCTCCTAAATGACCGCCCGTTTCAAAAACATGATCCATTGGACTAGATGTTCGTCTTGAACCGCGATGACTTTTTCGTCGTCCGACACGAATACTTGCCCGTCGTTGCATGATGGCGTTTACTGATAATGAATAATCTTCTTCACCTTCTTCGTCTGAATTATGTTCGTCTAATATACATAATTTATTTCTATATTAATTCAAATTAGATTTTTAACAATACATGGAAATTACCAGAAGCGTTTGTTGGACTTGTTATATCCGGTGATAACTCATTTGATCTTTCTTCCGATGAACTAATAAATTAGGTTTGTTGTACATTATTTTAAATGTAATTCTTATATTTTTGTTTAAATTTAATTTTAGTTTTTAGATTATGTATAAAATATTCCAAATTTCTTTAAATAATTTAAAATGAACAAATCGAATTTTATTACTAAAAACTCACCGCTTACTTCTTTCCGTTTGTGGTTGTTTTAATAAATTTTGCATTTGTTTTGAATTATTATCGGGTTCACTTACATCACAATTGGAAGCCCATGTTACTGATAATTGAGGTGGTGAGACTGGATAACTACCACCCTAAAATTCCGAAGATTCGTTTTAAAATTGGACACATTAGTTAAATTTGAAAAAAAGGTAATGATGTTTTGATAAGACTACAAATGTATTTTAGTTTATTTTATCAAAATGGAAGCTAATTTTGCATCATATTTTACACATCATATTTTAAGCATAAGCTCTTAAATAAATTTCAAGCATTTGTAAAAAATTATACTGAAGTGGAAGCAATTAAATTAAAAGCTACAAACATTTTACTAATTTAAATACGCGAATAGTCGCATTCACAAAAAGAATATGTTTAAGTTTTTTTTTGGGAGTCAACCATATTATTCGTATGAGCTGTATGAATTTTTTTAGTTTAATACTAATTTTTAAAATTATATTTAATTCATTTAAGGAAAAAAGAAATTACAGTACATGATTAAACCTCACTGTTGAGTTTTACTTTATTCTTAAAATTTTATATAGGTCGTTTTAAATCTTTCGACTTCATTTAATTCAGATTATTTCGCTATCTGTGTTACTTTTATTTGCATTTACTTTTATTTTTTAATTCAGATTATTTTTATCTGTGTTACTTTTTATAGGGTTACCTTTGTACCAAAGGTGAACCCTATTGTAATTAGACTAATTCAGACAAAGGGTTCGGGTAGTTGCCATACAACTCAAGGACTTTATTTTAAATATTTCAAGAACAAATAAAGGTATAAATATAAAATTTGTAATATATGTGACCAATTATATTCTACATATATTTTAAAAATTTTAATGGGATAGCTTCACTGGTTCAGGTGGCTATCATACAACTCCAAAAGGAAATTTTTTATATTCGGAAAAATAATAAAGTCAGATTCATGAAACTTGGCAGTTATGTGTCCAATTATAGGTCAGATATATCCGTGAAGTTTATATAGAATGGTTTCACAGGTTCGAGTAATTGCCATGCAACAACGAAAGGTGCAAGGTAAAATTCAATCGGTTTATACTGACTGAAACATTTTTACTTGTTTTTTCTTAATTTTTACTAATTGTCCTTAAGAGAACATGACATTTCGTCAAAAAAATAAAATGAAATCTGAAAATTGTTTATAAGCTCTAGATGTTTTGAGATTTGAATCTATTCAAATGGAAGGAAATATAATTTCTTTATAAATCTAATGTGATCGTTAGTTTGGTCAATAATAAAGTTTACATCTATTTTACATATTATTGTATTTCGGCATTGTTCTATTCAATGCAATTATAGTAAATTTTATATCTTTGTTTTTCAACTAATCTATTAAACATCTTCCGACAAGCTTCCATTTGAAAATAAAAGACTTTATTCCCATTTGAATTATCGGAACTTTACACCGATTGGAAATGATTGGAAATTATGAAAATAGAAAATCTCCGCGAGTCGCTAGTTGAGTATTGCATAACGTGTTCAAATCACGCCTACCGAGATTATCTTTTGACTCACATAATTAACTATATTTTAATTAAATATAGTAAACTAAATTCGTTTGAAAGTAATATTAATGTGTTATAATATTGGTATACTTGCCATTCAGCTTTATGTTTCAAACGAAACAAGCTATGAAATAGCTTATTAGCTGAAAATAGTTATTTTGCTTTAAAAGTTGTACTGATCAATACTTTTTAGAAAATTTTTTAAAAATTGTGCTTATTTAATTTTTTTTTATCTACGTGTATGTGTGTTCGTTTTTTAAACTTCTATATCTTTTGAGAAAAGATCCTAAAATGGCAAAAGTACTTTTCGTGGAAAAATAATTTTTTTAGAACGGCATTATTTATCGTCTCTTAAGACTCTTTTGAAACAGATTTCAAGACACCCTATGTACCCAGTTTTCTTTTGGGACCAAGCTGTAAGATACCGTTAAAATCTAAGATCAGATATATGATAAAGTTTGATGACTGTTTACATATGAGAATTTACATGTCTGAAATGGTCTGGTTGAGCTCGGATAATGTCAAAACTTAATAATTTTGCTACGAAAAAAATAACCAAAACAAAATCAGCTGATCGCCACTCCAAAGTTTTATAAAAAACTGGTTCTTGATATTTTACTTTGACTTAAAAGAGTCTTCACTAAATAAACGACTTTTATCAGCCCCGCATCAGGTTTTGGATTTTGGCACATATGTAAACAGTAACTAAGAGTATAATATTCTAATATCGTGAAGACAAATTTTTTTTACATTACCTTCACCTCTTCATCGAACTCACTTTAACTTTTGAAAGAATTTTTTGTATTTCAATAAAAATCTAAAAATTAATGAAAACCAAAAACCGTAATATTTTTTGAGTGAACATATACATCTTAGTACTGCCTTTAAAATCTTGTTTTTTTAGCTATATCTCCTTTTCGGTAATAGATTTTTCAACGTTTAATAACTTGAATCAAAGCTTAGTAAGTTGAGTCAAAACAGTATTTTCAACAATTGAGATTACTGCTTCCGAAAACAATCTACTACGTTATTTAAATTAGTTTCACTGACATACCGAATCATTTATAAAATTATTGCACACTTTTAGGATGAGCAAAAAAAAAAAAAACATTTTCACAATGCATTTCCGATGAATAATTGAACGATTATAAGCAAGTGTGTTAAGAAAAATAATAACATTTTTTGATGGTGGCGCAGTTTCTGTTAACTGAAATTTGGAAAAGCTTGCAGTTTCAAAAATATAAGGTGGAATTTTAACAATTTCGAGAGAAAATAACTTGAGAGGGAATCGGACGGACTGAAGGATAGATGACTGGACGCATCGACGAACAGAGTGAAACTAATATGCACTTTTTTTCAAAATTTTTTTGGAAAAGTGCTAAAAAGCTGGGGAATATTCTCCAAAAAAATATTTTAAAATATCAAAAAATTTCACACGAAAGCACATAAAGCACAAACTAAACCGTTCTTATAACCCGTTAATTAAGATTGAATTCTTAAACCTTTTTTAATATATTTTTCACATATATAGGATAAATCCCAATATCTCGGAAATTAATTTTAACACCTAGTTTAAAACAAAAATTTAACTGAATGCACTTATTATTGAATCACTTTGTATAAAAGCGAAAAAGTAACGGTAAATATCTTCTTGTCAAAAAATATAATCACGAATTTTAAAACTAATTCAATTTCATCATTAGACCAATGTCTATTTTAATTTTCTCAATGCTTATTACCGACCACAAGGGAGGTTATGTGATAAAACCAAATTTTGCATGTGGAGTTTTCGGTGGAAAAGCGTTTCTTTATGCTAGGCAAGCGCAAATAAACTATTTTTACAGAGGTGTATGTCGATCTATCTGTCTCTTGGTCTGTCTGCCAGTCTGTATTTGCAGATATTTGTATCTCAAGTTCAACAGAACCGGTTTCGACGAAATTTTATATATGGGCTTATTTTGAGGGTGAGATATTTTGACATTTTTTTGGGATATATTAGGCCTCGGGAATTGGGTTTTTTACGGCCCGATTTTGCATTTTTAATTATTTTCAAGAAGATCAATGAACTAAATAATGTCAAAGAACATTAGAAAAAATAATTTAGTCCAATTTTTCTAGTTTAATAACACCAAATGCAAAAATTAATATAAGTGCAATAAAATAACTACCACAAATCAAATCAAATTATCACAACAATTATTATTTGCAAAAAAAAAAAAATTAGAAATGCTAAAAATTTACAAATTTACAAATAAAATTAAAAAAATTTATAACTAACTTTTTTTTTTCAACTAATTTTTATTAATACTCTTTGTTACTTTCAACACACACTACACTAACACTACACTACTTTTGATCAAATTTATTTTTTTTCTGTTGTTGTTGTTTTTTCTTTAATTACATGTGTATTATATAATTTCTGTTAAGCATATTACAGGTATTATTTTACTTTTATGGTGAATTGTTTTTTTTTTATTATTTTTTTTCTTTTTATATTTAATCTACTATATTTTTTAATCTATATTAATAATACTTTTGATTTAAGCTACTTTTTGTTAACTACTCTATATTTTACTTTATTTTTTTTTTTTTAATTTTTCCAAATTTTCCAAAACAACTACTGTGATTACAAGTAAAAATATACACACAAATACACACTCAATATTGATACTGTAATTGTTCTAATAAGTTAACAATAAACTAAGAGAAATTCCACTAAGACCTACGGTATAAATGACAAAAAAAACAGTAAGAGAATTAAAAAAATAATAATTGAAAACTGTGGGTAGAGGCACAAAATATACACACACTCAAAAAAAAAAAAAAAAAGAATAATGTGTGACACGTGAAGATGAGGTGTGTTTTAAGTTTCAACAAATTTTGTTTTTTTGTGACTCTTTTAAAAAAATGAAAACGAATTTTAGAAGAAAGTAAAAATTTTTTTTTTTTTTGGTTTGTTTTTTTCTTTTTAGTTATAAAAGAATTTAAGAATTAAAATTTTTTATTTAAAAATTTATTATAATGGAAAATCCTGGATCAAGGACTTTAATTTTTCAATTTAAATGATTTTTTTAATTTTTTTTTTTTTTCTTTTACAAAGCACAAACCGTGCCCGATGTTGTTGTTGATGTTTGAGTTGTAGCTGTTGTAATTATAGTCGTGGGTAATTGATTTTCATTATTGTTATTATTATTGTTATTATTTCTGTTATTATTGTTGTTATTATTGTTATTATTTGTTGAAGTTGTAATCCCAAGAGCTTCCAATGTAATCCAAATGATTCGTAATATTGCCGTATTATTTCCAAAATATGAACGATATTCCATTTTTTTTTTTTTTGTAATCCACACAAAATTTTAATATTTTAATGCAATTTTTTTTTTTCATAAATTTTAAAAAATTATTGAAATTTCTAATTTAACATTTTTCTTGTTTCACTTAATTTTTCTTTAATAATTTTTTAATAAATTTTAATTTTTAAACTTTTGAATGACATTCACTAAGCTCAAATATTATATTTAATATTTTCAATATTCCAATATTAAAATTTTTATGTTATTAAAAGCTATTCTTTGTTTTCAAAAATTTCGCTAATTTGAAAAATTTTTCAACTTTTAAACAGTAACTCCAATAACGAACCATGAATTATGTAAGTTACAATCAGTATAACAATAACACCACCAAAACCATATGAAACCAAAAGCACAAAATTTTTTAATAATTATAATTTTTTGTAATTAAATTTAATAAATTATACACAGCTTTAACTTATTTTTAATATTTTCTTTAATACTTTTTTGTTTAGAGCATTAATTTTATTAAAATAAAAAAATAAATTCGACCCCATATAGTGATCATCAATATTTTATATTTGAAAGGTGAAATTAAATTCACAATATCATAATATATACCAATATAATATCAAAAGAATAGGTCGAAAATATCTAAAAATAAAAAAAATCTCAAGGACAAAACAATTAACATAGTACACACTTAATATTATTCATATCTTATATTATTACATTTTATATATCCAATAATCACATATGTAAGTAGTTCTAATCACACACACATACACGCTGTTATTCCAAAAGGCTTTTCCTCCCAAAAAATTTCACCACTCAATATTTTGTAATGGAAAATAATAGGAGGGATAGAGCGCGAATTTTTTTCCAATTATAAGAAGATGCGACTTCGAAGACCGTTTTTAAAAGACTGAATAGAATAAATATGATTCGCGAAAAAAATAGCCACTATAAAAGTGAATGGACACCTACAAATTCCAATTGATAGCCTTACTAGATATAAGTTTTACCACACATAAGTTCGTGTCTAATTTCGCTCTAATAGTTAAAATATTGTGGTTTTCTTGTTTTTTGTCTTTTTTTTTTTGCTCTTTTCAATAATCCTTTATTTTTTCCTTTTTATTTTATTCACATTCATATTTTTATATTTATTATAATTTTCATTTTTATAATATTATGTATTAGTTTTAATAAACAGAATATATAAGCATAAATAAAAGAAAAAATTAAAAATCTAATCAAAACGTAGCATGAATATAGGAAAATCATATCAAAAGTCTAAGTGGGTGGCAAAACAGAAAATTTAACTTTAGTACATTTGTACAATTCTATTCTATATTTAACTAACATTGTACATGTGGTTAGACTATTTTATAGTTTGGTGAGATTAACGCGATATTCCATGCTTGTATATCATATGGTGTTTTTGAGTAAACCGCTTTAAGCTAAAGTTAAAGTGATCGTCATAATAAAAAAGAAGAAAAGTAGAAAGAAAATTATTTTTGTATCCTTATTTTAAAGGATTGTATGAAAGTTAAAATTCATATTTCTTTCTTACTTTTGTAGATATATTTGAGTGTATAATAGATGGTCTATGTTAATAGTGTTAATAATAATAGATATACAAGAGAAAAACAGTTAAAAACAAAACGAAAATTAAAATAAAAAAAGAAAAGTGGTAAAGAAAAATTAACAACGTGAAGAACATTAAAAACATGTAAATTAATTTTAAACATGCGAAGGCGCCTCTTTAGTTTCAGTTAAGTTTTTAAATGCAATTGAGCTGGAAGCAATAGGTATTCCCTCTATGAATTTTAAAGTGTTCCGTATAAGCTGACGCTGAATTTATATCAGGCTGTTTACCATTTTACGAATTGCGTATAGCCATCATCAATATGACATACTGACCTGTATCTGCAAAAAAAATTTCTTCGGAATTACCATGTATGTGCAGAAAATATTGAATGGGAACGGTTTATTCAACAAACACCTTCATGCTATGGGAAAGTGTACAAAGTGGTACAAAAATTGCACTGGCTTTTCGGGGAAGTATTCTACACCGAGGCTGCGCTCATTTATACCCTCAGAATGTAGGGTCTAACACTTATGGTATCTTCATCTTCAGCTTCAAGTATATGCAACTTAATTGCAATATCTCTCTTCGTAAATATTTTTGTTCCCGAAACTTATCTATATTAGCTATAGAAAAATATTTCCTTTCCATATCGTCAAAAATTGATATTTTCCAAGCAACTTGCGACTGAGGGTTGAAATATTTTGTAATACTAATAACGAACTATGAAAATAATTCTTGCTAACGTGCTAGGACAAAATCTGCAATACACACAACATAAGTGATTTTCATTTTGTATATTCATACTTAAAAAATTCTTTCCTTTTTCTGAATCAGCACCCATTTTATTTTTATACTTTTTAATTTCTTTGGTGATATAGTCGACATACTAAAAGATGATAACTATGAATTAGACACAATGTTATTATTTAAATAATTTTAAGGCGAATTGGCGGCATTAACGAATAGTAAATATTAGAAAGCGACAAAACCACAAGACATAAGAGAAGAGAGCCTTAAGTAACAAACATTAAATCTATTAGTATATTTAAAGTAGATTTTGTCATCAAATAAATCTGTGCTCCAAAAAAAAAGTGATTTTTCCACAATACATTTGAAGTATGTATGTGCCTTACCCAGATTTTCGCCTTGAAAAATAATTTTTCATATTAAAAGATTTTGCGCCTCTATAATGAAAAGCGACGGCTTTTTTTTTTTTCAAATATATTTTTTTGAGCACAATAATAATTATAATGGGGTCATAAACTTATAAAAATTTGATTTCCTTTTATTTTATAATTTTGTTTTTGGTGATACGAGTATTATTTAGGATTTCGCCACTTTTCATTTAACATATTTAATTATGTACTTGTGTATGCTTCGTATATATACGAAGCATATATATGTATGCATATGTATGCAGGTATGAATATTTAAGCTTTATTTTTAGAGAAACTCTTTACATAAACTTATAAATGGCACACTCCTTAAATTATGGATTGTAATTCTTTTAATCCGTTACGTGTGATATTTTTAGTTTCTTTTTCTATTGTTTTACTTTTATTCTCTTTTAATTTTTATAAAATATTCTTTGAAAGAGAATAATGTGACTATTTGATTGGAATTGTGATTTCGTTTAGTATTTTATTTTGAATTGACTGTCCCGCGGGCTGTTGCTTAGATTTAATTTCAATACCTGAGAATTGTTTTCTATTTTGAAATTTTTTTCTTTATGAAATGAAACTTCGAAGCAGTGTGATCATTCTCATATTTTTAAAATTAATACGAGTACATAATTCACATTCACGCATAAATTTATGCACTTTTCATTTTAAAAGATTAAAACAAATAATGTCGCTTATATTGTATATTAATATAGTTAGGTGTTTAGTGCCTTGTCCGGAGTTCTTCGAAATCATAATTCCGATGACAAGTGTATAAGTAAAAACTTGGTTGTTCACTATTAATTTATTTTCGTTCATTAAATTAGGCCACTTGGTATTATGAGCAATGTATAACAGAAGTTTTAATGTATAACAGTTTCTTTAAACCCAATTAATATTTATGACTCAATTTAAAATTAACCTGCAATTGCATTCCTATTAACAATTACAATATTATAATTTTTGCATTTATATATGATGAGATATTAGACGTAAAGGAAGAGTAAAATAATTTTGTTTTATATAGAAAAGTAAAATAGAGGAAAAATAATAAGAATAATAAAAAATAAATGAAAATTTAAATATTCCTGGAATGCATTTTGTATATTTTTTTTTTCTTTCTTTTTTTATACCTTACATGTAATTATTTATTTATTATGAAAATGACTTTGGGTGCAGTTTTCACCTTTACAACAATAATTGTGAATAAAATCATCAGAAAGAAAATTATATGAAATTATTCTCCGAAAAAAATAAAACAAAAATGAAATGAACTTGACAGAATAAATTGTGACATGCAACTAGAGTTTAAGAACTTTTTGAAATTGTTGCGTTTAAAAATTTTAGTTTAACCCTCCACTTTATTTTATTTATTTTTACCGACCGTATTGTGTAAACAATAGGTAGGTTATGTGATGGCAACAAATTTTGCATATCGAGTTTTCGGTGGGAACGTACTTCTCCATAGTAGGAAAGTGTAAATAAACTATTTTTAGCAACCTGTCGGTCTGTCGGTCTGTGTGTGCACGCGTGTATCTCAAGTTCGGCTGAACCGATTTTGATGAAATTTTATATGTAAGTTTGTTTCCACCATGGCACGGATCGATCAAATTTTGGTATATATCAGGCCTCGGAAACTGCACTTTTTAGCGGGCCTGTTTTACATTTTTGAACATTTTGAAGAAAATATTCAACCGATTTACTTGAAATTTTATATATAAGCTCAGCTCGACCGTCCGCAAAAATTTGTATGTTTTGGAAGAAATCAGGCATCGGCAACTAGACGTTTACTACGGGCCAAATATACATTTTTGTGTATATAAAGAGAAATAATCAACCGATTTAATTGAAATTTAATATATGAATTCCTCATATTAAAGCAATGAACATATAACTTTATTGGAAAGATCAGGGCTCGAGAACTGATTTGCGGGCCGATTTTACATTTTTCACCATATCCACAGAACAAATTGATGGAATTTCTTGAAATTTGATATTTGAGTTCTGGTTGTTACCGAAACTAACTGGCGAGCATTTCAGGGAATTCGGGTAGCACAAAGCGAAACTCTACTAAGAGCCAAATTTACATTTTTCTAAGTATGTTAACTACAAGCTTACTAATGTCCTAAAAATTGGAAAGAAGTATTTAACAGACA